CTCGAGCTGTCTGACGATTATCATGGTGGAGCTACTTTCTAGTCTCCACGGAAGGTGCGAGAAGCTCGTCGCCAATATGAGCAGAAACAGCGCGATCATGAGGAGTTACAACGCCAAAAAGCTATCGCGGTTAAAGCTAGAGAGGAGAGAAAGCTACTCAAAGCTCAAGAACTAGATGCGCGACGGCGGGCGCGGGCACAGGCAAAACTAGATCGTGAGAGGCAGAAAGCTGAAGCAGCTGCCCACCGGATAGCCCGCCAAGCCGCCCACAAACGACTTCAGAAAGCTATCAAAATCTCACAAAGGGGAAAGAAGCCTACCTTCAAGCGCTCTACTGAGCTAGCATCAAAGAATATTATCGTTGGCAGTAGTAGTGGTGGTGCGCAGCGAGCTAATCGATCAGCTGCACCACCATCACCACGCTCGCGTTCAGGCCGCCCCATCAAGCTGCCAATCAAATATCAGTAGATAGATCAAATAAACAATACTACGAGATTACTATACTAGAGTTTCTCGCGATAATAGCTTTTATGTAGAGCTCTACAGCTTCAAGTTTGTGATAGTACTGTTGGGGAGAAATCCGGCGTTGGCCCGTCCGCGGCGTTGGCCCGTCCGGCACCTCTACATGCTTTTGACTCGCTTCGCTTGCAGATCGATCCAAGTGACACTCCTCCACATCCCGGCTACCTCGATTTGGAAGCAGCTAGCCACACCACAACACACCCTTCTACAAATTAACTCGTCACATGTATACTTACATACACACCTATGCCCATGTCCATGCCACGCAACCTCTCCCAATCCCTCTCTACCTTGCTTGACAAACGTCCTCCGTGGAGCCGACGGCACCCGGACGCGCACAACATATAGTATATGTATAACTTGCGGCTCTGTTGTTTGCTTTTCAGGAACGAATGGTGGCCGACGGTAGTCATCCAGTCACGCCCTACACTTTTTCGGAGCGCCTTCCGACTGGCTTCACCCAGGCGCCATCCACACCCACACACCCACAATGTAGGCCCAATAGCCAAGATCAGCCCTTTATAAACCGTAGGCACGAGTGTCATCCCGTCAGTACAGACCATTTGTACTACTCTTGGCTATCTAGGAGTGGGTCCTGCAAACCTTATCCTGAAGTAATATCCTCAGCGACGAGCCGTCAGCCATCCTGTACTGAGCGAGCCCCTATCGCCAAGCGCGCTTCTCCATTGAATCGCCAGTTGGCCCAAGACTCGTTTGTCGTCTTCAGTCTTGGAGCCTTCGACTTCCTCGTCTTCACCGGGTTTATAGGTAAGCAAGAAAGCCACTTGCACAACATCGCGAGGACTCAGCATTGGTGCATTGAATCCTGAGGCCTGCATGTCCCAATTTAGCGATGTTGACTTTAGAGGCAGTTTCGGATTGACGTCGACAGCCTATTCAAAATCAGTACAGGTTTGGCATACACCGGGGAATCGTGGTTGTGGTAGGCAATTGTCATAGCGCCGGGATCCACATGTGTTGCGGAATGGCGGTTTATGATCACGATCGAGCTTGCGCTTGAATCGCTGCGCCCGCGAGCGTATCAGGCAAAAGGTGGCGTAGATCTGACTCGTTACTCGGAACTGGGAGAACAAACCTCTAAACAGACTGCCGCTTCCCCCATGTTTTCCAATTGCGCCTCCAGCAGATATCGGCGTGATCCATTCTTCGGGCTCATCTCGCCAGCCTTCGTTCTGACACTAAGCAACTGCTGAGCCACAAACTGATACAATTTGCGGAAAGTCCGGACCCTTCCACTGGCTGCTTTTCCCTCCCCTAAAGCTGTTTCAGTGTATGTGACCGTCACGGCCAATACGTGATTCCCCTCCTCCTTCAGCTCGAACCTCAGTATCCGCTGCAACGACTCGCCTGGTCCAGGAGAAGTATTGACGTCTTCGTCTGGTGTGCCTGTCAGGTCCAGTGGTGAGCCAGTAGGGTTCGAAGGTGTTTGCATGTCCCCTTGTATCCTTACGCCGCTAATTGCTTTTGTACTGTCTAATGGATCGAGCTCGTTGTTTGCACATAGTGTACAGGAGAATGTTTCGCCAACATAAGCACTGCCAAACGCCTCAGGGAGGTTCAGTACAGGGCTGAGAATGAATGCATCGTTGGTATTTCGCTGTGAAGGATAGGCGAGTGAGGCTTGTGGCGATATACCCAGATCTTTCGAGTTCGGAAGTGGATGCTGCGTAGCAAGCATCGGACGAGAAAGTCTGATGCCATCAGTGACTGCTACCTCTCTTGAACGGCAGTGACAAGCGCATATAGACTTTGGCCATTCAGTGATACCACGAGGACCGAGTGTCATTGAACCGCATTTGTCAGGGCGATACGCACCGTAGTACCTTCAGGCTCACCGAGTGCGCCGTCTTGAGAGAGTCTCCCATTGCAGGGCCTCGCTGTTGAGCCATGTTGATGGCCGTTGTGTTGCAAGGTCACTCAGCTTGTGACAAAAGGCCAGGCTCACGTTCAAGTGGGGCAAATGCATCATCGGAGAGCATCCAAATATCGGGCCGGTGCGGACTTAGCTCGGCGGTAAAATTTAACCGATATCGTGAACTGATGTGCTCAAGCCATAAGAATCAACTTATTGGACCGAGATTCCGCTTTGCGCTATTGTGCTTACTTGTTTTTCTTGGTTTTTGTTCTTTGTATTACAACGCAAAAGAAAAAATTACTTGACAGTATGGGTGTTGCATCCGGTCAAGAAGACGTCCAGCTTCAACGGTGTCCGTATCTGATCATCAAGACTGACACTCCCAAAGTTATGTGTTTCGTCCCATCGCGGACTTTGTGCTAAATCATACTGATGGGAACTTGCAGGACGGGGTGTGTTCGCAACAAAAGACATTCCCGCACATACCATTATAGATATTTGTCCAGTCTTGGTATTGGGAATAGACGAGAATAAGAAGCACATAGAGAACACTTCCCTTTATCACTATACTTAGTAGGTATTTTCACTCTTCAACTCCTGTACATGCTTGATTTATAACTCAATCCGTGTACTGGTTTCAAAGACACATAGACTCAATATCTCTGTGTTACAAGCCTTTAGATGACTTCGGCGGCAACTCTACAAAGACACGTCAATGGTTGACTGCAAGTATATAGACCTGACTTAGTCCAGCAATTGGCCCCAAACAGATGCGCACGGCAATCACCAAGTTTCGCAAGCAGTCGTCTTTGGACTAGGGAGCATGTTCAACCATTCGACCCAGGAGCAGAATGTGGGATGGATGCGAGACCTCTGTCGCAGAATAATAATATACCGAGCTTTGAGAGACATTCCTGCAGGCGAAGAGCTCTGTAAGCGAAAAGAAAACAAACTTTCAAATCAAAACTGAGAAGACACTAATAGATCTAGGCATATCGTACGGCAGCCACCTAACGTTTAAGGATGCGGATATGCTACCTCCAGCACCACTTGAAGATGAAATCGAGCAGCTGAGAATGATTGAGCCGTATTAAAGATAGTAAAGTACAAGGGTCCAAAGAACAAGCGCCTCCGGTGCGGAGCCCTTCCCCAGCTGGTTTACGTGCCGAAGTGGACGAGCTGATTATATTGAAAGTGGTAGCCCTGAAGATTGTGTGCAAAGAAGAAGATAGTAATCAAGTGCTAAGAGGCTCTGGTTTTTCGCTTGACGGTGTAGCGTCTGCAGAACTGTTGTCTTCGGCGTCGTTCCTTAGGTCATAAGCGAGCTCGAAACATTCTTCCAGGAGCTGTGTTACGCGACCTTGACCATCCGGTATCTCGTCGCCCACCATGAATTTACCGTCTACACGCATATTGTCGATTGAATTCAACTATTCCTACATCAGCACACGGATTGAACTATCATTATGAAACACAAACCTTCATGCTATACGGGTACAATTCTCTTGGTGATGATACGCCTCCCAATTTCTTCACTTCGAGAAGACATTTGCGGAGAGTTGTCAGTTGGTTGTAGATTGGCAACAATGCTTCAGAGACAGGCTCGGATGTTAAGAGCAACTGGTAGATGAGTGCATAACCCTTCCGTAGGAGGTACAGTAGTGTCTTGGTATGTTAGTCGATGAGCTCTCATAGTGCAGACGATACATACTCTTTGCTCGTAGATCTCAGATGGGCGCCCTAGTGCATCGATGAAGTTGCCGTCTACCCGTGCCTCGTCTATGCGGTCAAGCTGACGCTGAAAGTCCCAAAGATCTGTCTCACGGAGTGACCACGCTTGCGTAAGCGTAAGCTTTTCAAGCTTGTTTCGGATGGTGAGAAGCTTGTCATAAGTGTCTTTGAAGGCCGGCGCTATGCGTCCTTGCCTATATATACATTAGCTAGCGATTGGAAAGGAATGGGAAGGCGCGCACTTTTGCTTGATCAGCGCAAGCCAAAGCAAATTTCGCCTCAACAATGTGCCAATGAGAGTTTCTGCTTCTGGTGCTGCTTCTGGATTTTCTTGGGTGAGCTGCATTTTGTCAACCATCTCGGCTAGCTTCTCTTCGGTTGAACCGGTCGTCTCATATGCATGAATTCCGTATTCTTTGAGTTCTTCATTTAGCTTGCTCAGCTCCTGCTCGTACTCTTCAACTTCATCATGAGGAAACTAAGATTCAGTGAGCATATATGCGGAGTGCCTTACAAAGACAACCCACCTTCGACCTCGTATTGCAACCGCAAGTTGATCTTAGTATTGACACCAGCTTCTCCCATTTTGGTATCAGCTCGGGAGTGAGCTCAGATAGGTTGAGTTTCAGTTCAGCTAGGATCTCCTCGCACACCTTGGTACGAGCGTTGAGAAGAGTAAAAAGGTGGGGGCTGTAATCATCTTTGCCTCGCTCGACATAGTCCCGACAGTCCTTCAGATTCTTGTCGAGTGCTTCGAGGTCCTTTTGTGAATAGAATGTAGCTTCCTTGAGGTGATCCAGGAGGCGCTAGAATTCATTAGAACTTGGAATTGGGATCATATGCACGGCGTGTCTTGTCCTACTTTGATCGTTGAGATGTAAGAGTATCTATGGAGAGGTCAGTATACACAAAGTAAGCAGAGGTTAAATGCATACACTGCTGGTGGCTCATGGTTCTTTCCGATGGTCAGATATGCAAGTGAGATGAGCTGAAAACAATCATCAAGCATATAGTCAACTGAAAGAAGATATCAGCGGATTTGCGGCTATATTCGGCAGGTGGCAACGTGACATACCTTTGTTCTGCTCAAGACGCTTCGTTTCGCGTATCTCGTTCAAAACTATGACCTGCTCAATAACCTGATCGTACAGCTTCACGACATCTTGACTCTTGACATAAGTCGATCGGTCGCGCTTCAGCAACTCGAGCTCTGTCCGGATAGATTGCAGTCTGTCGAGAATAGGCTGCTCTTTCGGGTCGAGCGGAATCCGCGGCAGTGGAGAGTCAGTCATGGTGGTCCACAAGAATTATGCAGCGATGACCGGGTCGTCTTGAGGTGGGGTTGGGCCTAACTCGGTGGTTGGTGAGGGCCTGGAGTGCAGCAATATGCGAACTTGCACGTAGCCGGGCGGGAAGCCAAGATGCAGCATGAGCGCGGGGAAAGGGCTTGGAACGTCACCGAGGGGCAAAGTCAGCCTCCATCCTAAAATAGGCTAGACCGAGCTAAGCGAAGGACACCACTAGCGCCTTCCACACCATCAAACGAATTCAGCAGTCTGGAAACTACCACCACCTCGACCTCACGACCAATCTCACGATCACAACCGTCGCAATGTCTACCGCCGAGCTCGCCTCCTCCTACGCCGCTCTCATCCTCGCTGATGACGGTGTCGATATTACTGTACGACTCCCGAGGTGCATCTGTGCAATTTCCGGGCACCATGGCTAATTTGAACAGGCCGACAAGCTCCAGTCTCTTATCAAGGCCGCAAAGCTCGAGGAAGTCGAGCCCATCTGGACCTCCCTTTTCGCCAAGGTGCGCATTTACGGCAATGCTGCGTCACAGGTCAATTTTCTGATGTGTGAATAGGCTCTTGAGGGCAAGGATGTCAAGGACCTACTCCTGAACGTTGGCTCAGGTGGCGGCGCTGCTGCCCCTGCTGCCGCCGGTGGTGCTGCCGCCGCTGGCGGTGCCGCTGACGCCGCACCAGCAGCCGAGGAGAAGAAGGAAGAGGGTACGTTGGCCCACACACAATGGCCATGGCAGATGATCCGACTAACACACCGACAGAGAAGGAGGAGTCCGACGAGGACATGGGCTTCGGTCTTTTCGACTAAGCGTCTTCTTTCACTTCCTTTCTTCGACATTTGCCTTTATCGGGGTTGTACAACGGATTCATCAGCGGGCACATCCCCATTGCTGGGGTAGGAATAGTCACGACCTCTCCGTGACCACGGTTTTGCACACGGGCCCTCCCCGGAAGAAACAAAGACGGCGTCATGAGATATGTTAGGTCGGCAGGTCAATGAATACTTCGAAAAGCGCAATGTCGGGAGTCTCTCCGTGATACCCCAGGTGATGACAACGGGCGACGAAATGCCATGTCTTTAGAGGCTTCTCTATCCCCCATCAACCTTGCTATCGCAGCAGTGAAGTCAAGTTGTGTTGTCCAATTCAGGGCCGACCACTCATCTTTGGGGGGTTTCTGTCTGCCATTTTTAGCATTCGTCTCTTGCCTGCACCAGCATGTGACTCAGTATACCCCATGTGCTAGCTTGTGCCCATTTTCTTTATTCCAAAAATCCGCCTGACTGCTCTTCTTCGTCAACGCGGTGTACAAATTTCCTCCATCTGCCGCTCGTTGCGCCATTTCACGCATTATCCCTGTCTCGAAGATAGCCTCCTAGTCCCACTGTGCATTACAGAAGGCGTCTGTTGATATGGGTCGGGTAACGGGGATGCATGTAGTTCAGCCAGATCTACAAGTGTTTCTTACGCTCTGATTTTTTTGTCGAGAATTGTGGCATCTAGACTTGCTCAAGCCAGTATCGATGATTAGTCCCTGAGTGGCATAATAGTCTAACCTAAAGCAGAGAACAGTAGTGAATGCCCAAGTAAGTTGTGAGATAACTTCCTGTTTGTTATGGAACTGGTAAAGATGAAAGCCGAGTAGACGGCAGTAGAATCACCACATGTCCTATTTTTACGTGGATTGATATCTTGCAGAGTTTGTCTGAATTTGACTTGACTGGTTGATCGCCCATGATAACATATCCAAAACACACAATAACCTGTGTAACAATTTCCAGCTAAGCATGTTATGCGCCTGTTGGATGCCCTATGTGGTCACAACGAGAGATTCCCATTTATACGCCGTTGGCGCGCAGAAGCTCGTCGTCGTAAGTCATACTGTTAATGCGCTTCTTTGTGAACTCGAATGCAGTAAAGAAAATTGCGTTGACAATGCAGGAGCGAGACATCGATACACCCAGGCCTATAGTTTGTCAGTAGCGAACCTGAAAAATCTCGGTGACCCATTCTCACCTCGATACATCCGACGGTTGAAAAATTGAATCTTCGGACGAGTGGCCTTGTCTTTTCCTCCAACAAGGCAGTTGCGCTGATATATACTCTTGGCTGTATCGATGGGAAATATCTGAAATAACAATTAGGTATGCCTTTCCTCCCTTGCTAGGCCTACTTACACATGCCCAACTGACCAGCCCACAAAGACCCCCAGCTATTACAACTGCCAACGGATGTGTGGGTGATGTTCCGCGTGCTTTTGCCAAAACCTGTTTCACGCTCTCATACGTAACAAAGTAGATGCCGGTGCCGATCGAATCCCGAACTATGCAATGTCAGCTTTTTACACATTTTTCTTTGCCTTGATGCTTCGTTTCACCCACGTAGATGCAAATGAAAGCCAGAATACAGGCCACTCCAACCCCGATGCCTGACCAGATTTTGTGCCGTCTTCCAGGTTCCTAAATTCTGGTAACTCTTCCGTATCGCTTCGTTCTTGCCGCCGCCATCGCTACGCTCGGCCATAAGCACTGAAATTTGTGCGCTTAGTTTCGTCAGCTCGAACGGACCTAGAGGATATTTAGTTGGTTTCGCCTGCAAATGGAAACCCCTTCTCCGTACATGCAATGACTGTGATGGCTGCGCCCGCATTCACCCCTGCCAACCCGAAACATGCAACTGTCGAGAATGTGGGCCATGCATCTTTGGTATTTGCGATTACGAGTGGCGAACTCCCAGTAGTCTGGTAAATCCAGTTGTCAAGCGCATATTTGGAGCGCTGGTATATGGAGAAGGACACCGTGCGAACAAGCGTTATGCTTGCGAGAGGAGACCAAACACCTATGACGCGTGTATTAGAATGCATTCGATACGATGCAGAGAAACAACTGGCTTACCACGGTAGAAGCCGTGGAAACCCTCGGTTTTGTAGGTATGGCGGACGCAGTCGACGAAAGAGTTGAATTTGTATCTGTTTAGAGTCAGTCGTAATTTATGAGCGAATAGGGGAGGCGGGCATACGCTTGCAGGCGGGTTTTGACCGAATCGAGAGGATACTGGAAGCTGTTAGTGCCTCAAAGCTCAGTAGCAAGTCGCCTTGAATGGGTTTGCTCACAGCAGCGAAGGTAGACAGGAGGCTACTGGAGCTCGCAGCGACCTCAGTCCTATACCGCTTTGTCCATCGCTTTGCCTGTTCGCTGCGCAAGACGGCTCTCGAGACGTCGGTCAGATCACGGGGCCTACTGGAAACGCCTCTTTGTAAATTTGGCCTCTCCCCCTCCTGCGCGGGCATACCGGCTATCGCTAGCTGTGGAAGACAGTGCTGTCTTCCTACGGCAATCGCGATCGGGCCAGCAGCCAAACAAGCTCCATGAAGACCGCTGCGTCGTCAGGCTCAGTGAGTTGCAGGAGTGCACGCGATCGGTGTAACGTGAAAGGGTTGGTGGCAGAGAGGGAGGGTGGGCGACAATGGCGGAAGCTGCTGAGTGTGTATAGATTCGGAGCGTGGTGATGGAATGGTGGGGTTAAGCTCACTCCAAAGCGGCTTAACCGTCACCGGAACCATGGCCTGATTGGCGCATGGCTGTGATCGACAAGTCGAATCGCACTTCAATGTGTCTCCCAGATCGCAGAAATGTCTCGCCCACCGCACGAAAAAGACGATCGCTGCTTTGGCATTGGGCATGCGTATACTCTTTTGATTGCCCATGCCGTCATCCTGCCAGAACTCGTTGTACAGGTGTGTAATTCAAGAGTGCCGGTGTGGAATGCGGGGTCGGTTCGCGCCTATGCGAAGTTGAACACTTACCCCAGTCCACATGCATCGCTACAGCTCGGGCGAATCACATTCGCCGTCTACTGCAGCCACAGTACTTGGGCAGTCATTCTCTGATTCACAATCTTAGCATCACGTCGCCCGGCTTGTACTAGGGCCTCTTCCACGCCGTGTCTTGCGCTCTGGCTACCCGACGTTGGCCATCCGACAGCAAGCCTGCATCTGTGACAGGACGTGTATGACAAGAGGCTACCGGCCGCGGACCATGGTACGTGGGTTGGATTAAGCTCATCGGCATCCGTAGCCATGCTCCTTTCCGATACCATGTCACATTCGAGATATTATATCTTACTTCAAACAATACTGAAATTTTGGTCATGCCTTGAACAGTCTTGTACACATAGGCGCCATCCTCAACCCTCGTGATTTTCCATATATCAGCTCAGCCAAGTTCCTCCGGCAGAGACGTCTGACATAGCTGCCATCGCCAGCTGGACCTCTTCTTGGCTACATCAATCTTTCTTGCCTATGATCTTCCTCAACTCCGCGTCATTCTCCGATCTCTCGGCCGACACCTTTTGATTCTCCTCGGCCTTGCGCTGTTTCTTCCTACGCATGTCTCCCAATAGCGCCTCTCCAAACGCTCCCCTATCATCATCTAGCCTCTCAATTTGCCCGTGCCGCCTCAAGCTCTCTTTGTGCCAACTGATCTGTCCACCATCTGCCTCTCGGTGCTTTTGTGCATTGAGCTTGGCGGCACGTATTGACGTTCGAGCGTAAACGAACAGCAGTCCGGCCATGGTAAAGGCAGCTAGCGGTGCCATGACCGTCTGTATACGAGTCAGAGAAAACACTGTAGGAGTATCCTACCTCCGGCAGAGAGATCTTACACGGCCATTGATGATACCACGATTCCTTGAAAAACGTGCTGATGCATTGCCAGGTGCGGATTTGGGGACTTCACTCAAGCCATCGGCAGCTTTGGGCATGGAAAGCCGGCCCCCCATTGCTGAAGAGTTAGAGTAAGTGTGACTCGAGATTGATATGCTCAACTGTACGCACGACGAAGTGCGTAGTGTCAAAGCTCACAGTAGAGATGGCGTGATACGTTTTGGAATTGTCGGGTTTGCTTTAGAAATCCTGATCCAAGGGAAATTTTGCTGCTGTCATTTGTTGGCATGTTTGTCCCACCAACAATCCCAAAGTCGGCCTCATATGGGTGAACATGCAATTGCTTTGGTGTAGGCGCGTGCGGGCGCGTGCGGGCACAGTAGGTGGAGCTCAAAAACGATGAGGTAATTGTCAAAGTAGCTATCGCAAGCGGTATAGCGTTGAACCCTTACTAGTCGACCAAGATCGCGTCATCGTCTGTTGATTCCATAAGCGCAAAATCGCAAAACTTCTGCATAATCAAGTGGCGTGCCTCGGCAACCTTGCTCCATCTGCGCTGTCATCGTAGGTCCAGCCCTTTTCTTTCCCATTGCTTGTACCTAGGAGTCTTTCCAGGGGCTGCACAATAGCAAGGCGTAGCTGCACGACTGTGTATGCATAATCTAGGCTTACTAAAGTAATCCAGAACCGTCCTTAAATACGGTGGTGCATTTTCGGCCTGGGTGTGTTGTCGTCATAATATAAGCACCTGCTGGCACCCGATCTGCAATCTTAATGCAAAGAACCACGGCGTATAGACTGCGAGCTCTATCTGCGAGTCTCCATACCATTACCCCTCCATCCGCAAGACACACCATTCTGTCCCGACCCCACTTCCAGTTTTCACGAACCGCAGTGGCATCCTCACGCTTAGCAACCCTCTCGTCTCACTTCTCGACAACAAGTCCCAAGATGTCGGCCGAGACCAAGGAGTGTGATTACCTAGTCATCGGTATTGGCAGTGGGGGTATCGCCTCCGGCCGACGAGCCGCCAAACACGGCGCAAAGGTCATTGCTGTCGAGTCGAAACGATATGGTGGGACTTGTGTTAATGTAGGCTGTGTACCGAAGAAAGTGACTTGGAATGCGGCGGCAATCGCAGAAACGTTCAAGGACGCATCCGCATACGGCTTCAAGGTTGGCGGGGTACCGGAGTTCGACTGGCCGTACTTCAAAAAGAAGCGGGATGACTACGTTACCCGCCTGAATGGTATCTACGAGAACAATCTAAACAAGGACGAGATTGAGCACCTGAGGGGGCGCGCAAAATTCGTCGCAAAGGATGAGGTCGAGGTTGCCCTGAATGAAGGAGGCACCCAGCGCATCAAGGCGAAACATATTCTCATCGCAACAGGCGGACGACCAGTGATCCCTGATATTCCCGGAAAAGAACTCTGCATCGAAAGTGACGGGTTCTTCGAGCTTGAGAAGCAGCCAAAGAGTATCGCAACAAGCGGCGCGGGATATATCGGTGTCGAGATGACCGGCATGCTACACGCTCTCGGCACCAAAACACATTTTTTCATTCGCGGCCAGAAGCTCCTCCGAAGCTTCGATCCCATGATCCAGGACACCGTAACCCAGGAGTATGAGCGTCAAGGCATCAACCTATACAAGGGTACACAGATTACGAAAGTAGAGGATATTGGAAATGGAATGAAGCGTGTCACCTATCAGGAAACAGAGAGCAAAAAGGAATCCACTGTTGAGGTTGAGACGGTCCTTTTCGCGACAGGACGTGTGCCTGAAATTGAGGATCTCAAGATCAAGGATTTTGGTATCAAGGTCAACGACAAGAACCATATCGTTACCGATGAATACCAGAACACATCCATCCCCAACGTCTATGCCATTGGTGACGTCTGCGATCGCGGTTTCGAACTCACACCTGTCGCCATTGCCGCTGGCCGCCGCCTGTCGGACCGCCTCTTTAACAACCAGCCCGACGCCCGCCTTGTATACGAGAACATTCCTTCGGTCGTCTTTGCTCACCCAGAAATCGGCTCGATTGGTATGACCGAGCCCGCGGCCCGTGAAAAGTACGGCGACGATAAGATCAAGATTTACAAGACGGAATTCAAAGCAATGTACTTTGCCATGATGGACCAAGAGCACAAGCAGCCCACCGCGTACAAGATCATCTGTGCAGGCCCAGAGGAGAAGGTAGTTGGTCTGCACATCCTTGGCCAGGGAAGCAGCGAGATCCTGCAAGGATTCGGCGTGGCGATCAAGATGGGTGCTACCAAGAAGGATTTCGACAGCTGTGTGGTACGTATCTTTTATCTCTCCCCCTACACCTTCCTTCCATTCCTTCCATATCTCGTTCTGGACGGCTGTTCCGTGCCTGCATATGCAGGCGGTTGCCCCCCTGGTAAATGCGTGCGAACATGTGCCCAGGTCTGCAGGGGCATTGACAGGAAAGGTCGTGGAAGCCACACAATCAAGGGTTTGACACGTTATCTAATATATATATATATATATGTATGCATGGATCTGCTAACAAATGTCGTCTTTTTCTTCAACAGGCAATCCATCCGGTCTCCGCCGAGGAGCTCGTCACTATGACCTAAAAAGCTGGAGGACCTACTACTTTTCTTGTGGAAATTCGTGCGACGAATAAGTTCGTTGTATCGCATTTAGTATTTTCGTATGCATGCGAAATACACTGCGTCTTTTCTATCGAATAGACGGCGGTTTGGGATTAGAACGTCGAGAATATAGGAAGCTTGAATGGTACTAGGAGCAATGATGTTGATTACTCGTGAGACTGTGCAATTGTTTTCTTTTCTTTTTTGCTACGCGCGTTTCTCTCTTTCTTCTCTCTATCTTCCTTGATTTTCTACATGTCGTCATTCCTCCCCATCTCGCGAAATTTCTCATGGCATCCTGATCCCATACCACACCCCCCATAACGTCCGCTGCACGGACACACCCGATCCCGCCCCCTTCGCAACTCGATTGCGATTGTCCAACGGTACCGATATGGCAAGTGCCGCCCTCATGAGATACGAGAAAAAGACCCCTACATACCTGCAGCCCCAGACCCCAAGCTCTTGGACAAGTGCTTATCCTGCGCCCCCGTCCGAGCGCCCGTATACACGATGAGGAAGCAAGTACGTGCGTTCTTTTTTGCTCTCTTTCTTTCTCTTTCTTCCCCCCTTGTCTGGCGTTTTTCTTTTCCCCGCCCATCCCCACCCCTCCACACGATGCACGGGTTCATTGAATGAGATTCGACAGGGGGCGGTTGGGGGGGAGGGGGGATTCGAGCTAAGCGCGCACTTGGAATATACATTAGGCGTGTCGGTCGGGGCGGGGGTGGCCTTTTTTATCGGGCACCGAAGATGGATGCGAAGATCAAACGACCCAAGAAAATTTATATTTGACAACCTTTGCATTGTATATGCGTGGCTTGCATAGAGGTCTCGACCTTCAATGTTATTGTCTTGCTTCTGTTCGTTCATGTCTATCATCGTTATGAGATGTTGAGCAAAGAGAGGGAAAAAGAGAGTATTGATTCCGTATTGCGTAAATCCGCTTGTCTACATGTGCACATGTGCATACACCCGGTGGGATATTTTCTAGAATAAAAAGAAAAAATGAATACGCTCTGCAACGTTGTCATGTTATGCCAACGAGTCAGAAGGGCCACGTGGGGCTCTATTTCTCCATACTTTCCTGCCTTGGTGATTCTCCATATCTTAGTACAGTTTTCTTTTTCTTCTCTGCTGGCCCTTGCTGTGGAAATGCGGGGAAATAAGACGAAGAGGGGTGTGTCTACATAGTGTTTTTTTCTTGCAGCACTTTGTTTCTCTAAGCGCTCGTAAATGGCTTATTCACTGTTACTTATGCGGGATCGTGGGGTCACATGGGGTCCACAGATCTAATAATGTAGCTTCATTATTACAGAGGTACAGGAAATTTATTTCTGGGGTAAGAGGGGGAGAGAGCGGCTTCGGAGGAGGGTTGGGAGAGACACTTGCTACTTAGAGAATGAGAGTAGTAGGGGTGTGTGTGTGCCTGCATTGTCGGTCTGATTCTCGGTGCCATCTCCGCCTTTCGCCTCAACCTTCCATGTGTAACACACACACACGTGTGTGCACGCACTTAGCATGTAACCAGAGAGATCCGTGTTTCATCTAATACGCAAGTGGCTGTGGCTGCTGACCCTACTGCCTCTGCCGCTGGTAGTGATTGTGGTGCTGATTGTACATACTTTAGGTCCAGTAGACTCATCATAATGAACTCAGTTCGCCGTGTTTGCGCCCTGCGTTTGTTCAGCGGGTCCTCCCCCGCATTCACTGCATCCGCAAATCCGCTTAGGAGAGCTCATCATATGGAGGGGGACTGGGGTGTGCCTCTCGGTTGCGTAAATTATGCACCCTTCGGCGCATGGAGCGAACGACATACCACCGGCAATAGTCGATTCGAATAAACGGTGGTGACCTATCGAAACATGCGATAATGTTACGACTGTCACACCTCTTTGTCTGCCTCCAACCATGTGATGTGAGGTTATGACTGGGGTATTGTGGTTACCATGTAGTGTCGTTGGCTGTCTGTAGTAGATGTTCTTCATCAAACTATTGTTGTATCAATGTATAAACGTATGGGGACGGCGGATTTAATTCCGCCAATTAAACTTTTAGATCGCACTCATCTCTAGCCGTTGTGGCTCGTATCGCAGCGCCACATTGTCCTACAAACCCAGGAGACATAGTTCTCTGTGCGTGATAGTGAGCCATACCGATGGAGAGGATTTTGGCACCGGAGCGCGTTCTCCGCGTTGATACGAGAAGTTCGTCCCAGATTACCTCATGCACTTTGTGGTAAGCCAGGATTGTCGAGACATGGGTATTGCATAAATTCCGCACACGAACGATGACTCGCGTTACAAACGACACCTCGTGCCTGCATCAAACAGCTACCCCGACGTCTTGTCCATAGGTTCGCGGGTCACGATTGCCGAATTAATTACCGTTGTGCTTTTGTCGAGCAAATAGCAGTATGCGCTTGATTTTGTGCCCACCAAAATGCTCACTGTTACCGCAAGGTGTGTCCCTGAAGGTTGTGTCTGGGGGGAATGCTGGGGTCCCCAGTCGACGCGGTTGAACCCTGGGTTATTTACATGCAAGATTTCCCGCTAGAGCATCTCACCAAAGGTGACATAGTTTAGTTCACTTTAGTTGCAAAAACGAACCCGTCCTCATGCAAGTTGAACCGAATGGGCATCGGTCGCGCCCAACGGCTGCCCTGCTGTACAAGGCAGCGAGGCCGCTGCTCAACACATGCTCAACGCCCGCCTGCACATTGGAAGCGACCCCGCCAAAGATAGATTACGGCACTCTGAATGCAAAGAAGTGGATCCATGTCGTGATGGAGTTGATACTGCGGAGCCGGCAACAATTGATGATGCCGGCTTGCCGCAAGAAAGCGCCTTGTGAATTGCTTGTCGACGAAGATTATACAAGTTTATATGTAATTGCCGTAAGTAGAGTTTGTCCCACCCGTATGTCCCACGCTGAGAAGCTAGCCCTCCTCTAATCTGAATGTCCCCAGTTTTGCGCCGCGCTGATTTTTGAAATGCGTAAGATTTTGGATTCCATGTGAATTTTGTCGATCGGAAATGAAACCTGATAACAGCTATCAAAGCTATTACAAAGATGTAGATGAAACTGAAAATGCGTCCAAGTACGAAAACCCTGTACTGTTTGGAGAATGTTCGCCCCGGTAATCCGCCGTGATATTGCGAGGTTGCCACCTCCAAGAATTTGAGCCTATTGAAGGCTTGCACATATTAACCACTCTGTCCACTCAAGAAGAAGTCTAGCTCGCTCGGGCCGCCTCTGCTAACCTCATTCTCTGCAAGCTGCTCGAGTAAACTCAGAAACGGATCCTTGCTATCAGGGTCGGTATGCGCTGAAGCGCCTGATGTGCTGCCTGCACCGGGAGTTGGCTGCTGGTCGTACGGAGGCGGCGGCATACTGAGCACAGGATCGAAATTGATTGTATGGTGATGTTGGTCTTGGTTTTGGTTGAGATTTGCTGGCCGAGGAACCGGTGATGGCGCTAAACTTGCAAATTGCGGTAATGGAGAGAAGGAAAAGTTTGGCGAGAAAGGGAGAGCGAGTCCACCGCCGTTGAGGTTTGGGGGGTTCAATGAGCTGTTTGATACTGGCGGGGTACAGGGAGGTAAACTAGAGTCAGTAGGGGCCTTGGTATCTCCAGGGCTTGAGTTTGACTCTGAAGTTTCACTCTCAGAAGGCCTATGTGTATGTACAGCCGGTGGCAGATGGGTGGCCAATGTAGGTGTTGGAGGTAGAGGTTGCGATTGGGCCGATGCTTTGGAAGAAGAAATGGTTGCTCTCCGCCTCTTATTTGGATGGCTACTTGAGTAATGAGAGCGCTGTGATGAAACTTGTTGTTTTTGGTATCCCTGGATGTTTCCAATGACGCCGCTGGTCATGTACATGTTGTTGCGTTGCTCGATGTTGAAGGTAGCCAGGCTAAGTGAATCGTCAGTAACAGCATTCTAGTCTACTTAGCTCTCCGTACTCACCCCTCGTTCAAAGACTCAATAGCAATGTCCATGAATGTGATGTGTGCCCCATCAAAGATTTGGCCAGGATATCTGTCGAAAAAGTCCTCAAGCTGGAATACCGGAGCATATCGCATTGGGTTGCTTGCCAGAGATTGGACAAGCTCTGAATGACATCCGTAAATGGCTTGCAGAGTGTCTCGTTGGTGCTGAACACTCGCCCAGATGAAGCGAAGCTCAGAAAGCTGCTGCATCTCACGCGAGAGAAACTCTGCACTCACTGAGAAGACCTCGCCTTCTCGGCTTGGATAGTGTGCGCCATGGACGTGGATGGTGCCTGCGGTGCATACACAATAGCCGATAAAAGCTGGCCAGTCCATGATAGAGGAGGCTCTTCCAATCTCAACGAGTTCGGCAATGGCGTTTGCGTGAAGAAAGCACAGATTAGTGGCTTCGATTTGCCAGGGTTGGTGCTGAGACGTCCCTGACAACTCGGCTAGATCCACAGGAAGAAATGGCCGATATATGAGGCAATGTATAAGATGATAAACCAGCTTGCTAAGAACCAGTATGGTGCTGTCGGGCTGGCCAAAGAGAGCATCAATGGATGTAAAGGTGTCCTGCGTGTCCGAGGCCCATGTGTCGAGTTCTTGGCGGATCTTGGATAGGTTGGATAATGAATGCCAGGGAAAATGTGAGTCGCCCTTTACACCGCCTGCCGCAAGGTAGCGATTGGTTATGCCTAGGATCCGTGATATACCAATCAGCATACCCATGCTTCCCTGTCCTCCTTTTCCAGTACCACCCATGTACTGCAGGTTGCATCCATTTGGAAAATAGTCGCCGTCGATTAACATTCCACCCGGGTGAAGCTGCCAGCTGGGCATTCGGAGTACAATGGATTCATCTGCAATTAATGAAGGTCGCTTGGAGCCGGTTGCAGCAAAACGATCCATGAGGTAGCAAGACCAGAAAAGTCGCCGCCGGCCTTCTCGTTCGGCCGATGTAACCTTGACGGCGGTGGGCAACTCGCGATGAAGATCGAGGGCGAAGACCATGCTAATGGCCGAACCTTTGGAAAGCAATGTTAGCCCCACGTGATTTTGGCTTGGGTGACGCGATGCATACTCAGCAGCATGAAGGCTTTTTTGCCCTTGCCCAACTGAAAACTTGCTTGCGACAGCAGCATGAGCGTCTGCAAGGCCTCGATGGAGGGCTCGTCAATGTCAAGCTCTAGCCGAGCGCGGCGGGCATACTCTTGTCCGATTCGCACAGCAGCGCCGTATCCGCCAAAGTGGGGCGCATATCTAGGGTTAATGAATTAATGTTGCTCTGCTATGCTCAGGGGTGGACAAAGCCAACGTACCTAGCACTCACGGCATAAATGGCATAGGCTAAGTGTCCGGGCAGTTGATTGGCCTGTAGTCGCTGTCTCGTGGTCGACTCATCCAGGACGTAGTAGGGTTTGCCGTGTATTCTGGCAAAGTAGGTGTCGAGAAGGAGATCTGGGGACAGGTTTGGTGATTGGACACTAGAGACTATTAGCCACAGGGTTGGTGGGCAAGAGGCGAGGTGCTGCTTCAAGCTACCTACCTTGGTTCAATGGGCGACATGAGCTGGGATGCATGGCTAGTGGAGTTTGCGGAGATGTGTGGGGTTGGGTGGAGTGGCTGAGACTTTGGGGCATCTGATGGTTTCCTGTCGACAGTGGTGGCATCTTGGGCAGAGGCGGTAGTCGAGGTCGTGGCAGTTGCAGTTGTTGTGGTGGCCGCGGGGTTGGCCTCGCCTAGGTCATCGCTCTTTCCTTCCGAGACCAGGCGCTTTTCCAGGCCGTCAACACGCTTCAGAAGGGCTTCGAGAACGTCGGTTTTGGGGCCTCTCTTCTTTGGCACGGCGTCTGTTGGGCGCGGTCAGCTGAGCTTACGGTCGAATACGGGCGGGTGGCGCTCGGGGATGGAGAGTACCATAGATACACGGGCAGTTGAAGACTTGACAGGCTTCACAGGTTGGGCGAGTGCGGTTACATTTGATCTGTAGCCATGGTTAGCAACGCAGGCGGTAGTAGTGGTAGTGGGAGAGGACCAGTACCTTTCGCTTTCGGCAACTCTTGCAATTCATGGCCTCTCGGGGTTCGTTTGAGACTCGGCGGGCAGGCAGTCTGTCGATGCCAATCTGAGGTCTGGCCATTGCGGCAGCCAGAGACTGGGAGACTTCGGTGGACATGGCGACGCTATTACTATGGGGCAGCGGACCATAAGCATTCTCTGGGCAGCAGAAAGGCAGGAGTAGTAGTACAAACAGGACGTTGGGAAGAAGAAAACATGACCCCAGAAAGGCAGCGTAAGTATGTACGATAATAGTCTAAATTAAAGCCGCGGACGGTGGAGACGGGCAGGGGAGGGGGGTTGTGCGCGGACTGCGAGGCTTGATGAAGCGGGAGCGAGCGCCCACGCACGGCGATGCGACTCGGTCGGCAGGTTGGCAGGAACAAGGGCAGAGAGCAGAGAGAGGGGGGGGGAATGAGAAGGGCACGCGTGATGGCGATCACGGGCTGTCTAGCCCAGGAGAGTAGAGCAGCCTCTCGTGCTAGGAGGGTGTGTGAGCATGTACATGGCCGAGTGTGTACAAGTACCGGCCGGGGTGCAGTCGCGCAACCGCTGGGCCGAAGGGCGATGACGGCGCTGGGGCTGGGGCTGGGGCTGGCGGCGCTGCTGGCTTGGGTGGCAGCAATACGGACGCCTGGTGAGATGGGCATGGGCATAGGCATGGGATGGAACGAGAGAGGCCAGGCCAGAAGGCCGGGGTGCCTCGGTCCAGTGGTCCAGTACGCCCAGCTCAGTCACTCCCTCTCCCCCCTCCCCCGTTCCCCATGCATGGGCTGTATCTGCAATTTAGCGCTTTTGATTGCGCTCGTCTGACGCAGCCAGGTCGTTGCAGGCATAGCTCACCCAGTAGTGCCGGACGGCCTCGCTTCTTCTGTTCTGGAAATCTGGGGTATCGCCAATCACTCGCGCCCACACACACACCGACCCGGCCTCTGCACGCTGTCCCCATGCCCGGTTACCGCTACGCTTACGGTTACTCACTTGCCTTCCTTCACCCACACCCACACACAAATGTGCATGCACTGCACCCAGGCACTCACTCCTCTTGCACGAGAACCGCCCCCGCCTCGCCCCCCCCGTCACGCATGCTGCATCATCATCCTTCACCTTGCCAGACACGTTCTGCATGTGATTGTGCTTGCTTGCTTGTTCATTAACCTATCTGCAGTACCTTCCTCACCATCCCTTCATGTTGCAAATTTAAAAGTGCCCCCGCCCACATGCCAGGCGCACAAAGTCATAGCACACGTTTTGTCCAACCAGCTTCCTAATCGTCTCCACCGTCGTCCATGCAGACACATCAGCAATCCCATACGCTGTCCAGCCTGCCGACGTTGCAATCTCCAATGTGTCCACCTTGCGCGGCCCACTTGCCAGGTCGACAAACACCTTGCCTGCTGTCTTGGTGCCCACCGCTCCGAGTACCTTGGGGCTGCCTTCGGGACTGCCGTTGCGCCCAGCCACACGGTAATGCTTCAGCAGTGGCACCACCAGCAGCGACTTCTCCGCCGGCAGTGCTGAGATAATCACAAACGGCTGCTGCAGTCGCTTGACATCTTCAATTGATCGCACCGGCGACACGTCAGTAGACAATGGCCCATGTGACTTGAACCCAATCGTGTAGATAGGCCCGATGCCCAAGTTCTTCAGTGCAAAAATAGACGCCGATGCATCCCCCTCGTTGCTGGCAAGCAACAACGCTGCTTGTCCGCTGTATGCCGACGGTACAAAGTCGCGTGTCAGTGTCGCTCGTATCCCCTTCCACCGAGTATTGTCACCAATCAGCGATGCATTGCTGCTCCCCGGCGGCACTAACACCGTGTCAACCTGGCCGATAGCCCGCGCCGCATTGGACAGAGACGGTAGGTATGGCGCAGACGCTCCTAGCGGTGGGTTGATATAGGCCCCCCCAAAGTTGTTGCGTCGGAGAATGTGCTCAATCGATGCCTTTGGCCCTCTCTCGGCAAAGCTAAATGAATGCGGCAGGCTAAGCTCATTGAAGCATTTCTCAAAAAACATGGCCTGCGACGTCGACCGGAAGCTCCCAATCCCGTATATATCTCGCTTCGGCATCTGGCCCATGGTGTGCAGCGCCGCATTGATCTCGGCTGCACTTAGCTGCCCCGGTGCTGCAATCATGGGCAACAGTGGGTGCGTAATGGGTGTGAATATCTTGTTGAGAGTCCTCGAGAGCTGACCCATAGGTCCCATGTTGAGTCCGGAAAAGGGTGGGTGCGGGTACTTGGCTTGAATGGTCGACCGGAAGTACTCGAGCTCGTAGTTCTCCTGCATCGAGTTGACCAGGGCATACATCTTGACAATGTCCCCATACACCGCCCCCATCTCGAACAGCCTTTGCGTTTCAGGTGATGTCCACTTGAAGGTGCCCGAGAAGTCGTGGAAGGCCGATATGATTTTGGTGCATGCCTTGTTCTCAGCCAACTTCTTTCGGATTTCCTCGGGCAGCCACAGCTCCACGTCAATGTATTCACAGCCCCATTGTATCGCGCGCGCAAGGTATCGGTAGTAGAGCGAAGGTTCGTCCATGGGAAATCGGCCGTTCTCCTTTGTGCACCTCGTCGTAAAGATGATAGGCAGCTCGGTGCGCTGGCGCAACACCATGACCTGCTCTCCCACATACTTGAGGCTGGGCACCTTGCTGATGGTCCCATCCGCCATAGGTTCTTCGAGCAGGTCTACTCTAATCTCTATCGCATCCGCACCAACTGACAGAATGTCCAAATTCGGAAGCGCGGCATGTACGTCAGGGAACGTGGTCGAGATTAACGTCGTTCGCGCCTTCTTGGTAAGGTCGCGGTGGGGGCCAATCTGGCCTAGGATAAAGGAGAGGTAGCGCGAAACGTCTCGACGGAAAAAGGGCGATCGTGTGTAGAGATATTCATAATCGCATCGGTCGGTGATGCTCTCGTCCAGCTCGTAGCTTCCATCCACTCGGTGCGTGTTGATCAACAGCCTGGAACGATCCCAGCTGTCCAAGTGCGGCTTTGCAACCAAGCTGCTCAACCCATACACTGTTTCCTTTGGGCCGGCCAGCGCGTCCTCTATAGACGACGCCAACTCCCATCTCTGTCCCAAAACATCCGCAATTGTGTCTACAATGCTCTCCTCGCCCTCGTTGTGCAGAATCAGGAGTGCGGGTCGGGCGCCATGTGGAATCTCCTGCACGTCAATGACCATACCTTCTTTCAGGTGAGGGGAGGTCACGCTCCCGGTAGTCTGCACCATGGTTGCCATGGGTGAAGATAAAAGTTGGGTACTGTTCTTGTTCTCGCTTTGGATTAGCCGTATGTGTTGAAGCCGTTGATGCGATGCTGGATCTCGGCGAGGATGCGACGGGCGGAATACAACTGGCAAACTGCAACAACCGTCGCTACCATCTCCAAAGCGTCGACGAGGCTGAGGCAGTTGGGGGTGCGTCTGGAGAAATACAAGCGCCTCACAGTGAGCGCTGTACTAGATTCATCCGTGGGGGGGTGGGATGCAGGGCTGGCTTTTGATTTAATCGCAGTGCGTGTGAGGTTTGGAGATAGAGAGATAGCACCATGTCCTGAACAGAAGTGGAAGCCCCAAGCCTCCGCAAACCGCGCGCGTTTGTTCGCTTCAGAGCCGTCCTATGGCTGGACGGTGAATATGCCGTTGGCATTGGCACTAGCTCGGAGCTGTAGGAGAGTGTACGGTCCCGGCGCGGGCACCATGGCGTCTTCGCCGATAGCTGCGCCTGAAATTTATCCGTCGGCTTACCGTACGCCCACTCAACCCCCAGATTTTGCACCAATCACATGATTTGCCATCACCCAATGCATTCACACGCCAAGCATGTCGCTCCCCATCGCCATCCTTTGACGCGAGATGCTGCTGACGTTGGGGTGTCTAGATTGGTGGAGAATGGTGTATAGCCCATCTCCCACTGAGATCCTGGGGCCTGAGGCAACACTCGACTGCCATGTGCATGTCTGAGGCGTCGACTGCCCAGCAAAAACACCACCTTAATACGACCTTGGTATCCCGTGTGGGCGTAAATCATTCCGATCCACAGGCCTATTACTGTCGCGAGGCTTGCGCCTAAATCTCCACGCCTCTGCAACTCATCAAATCCCCTTCCATCAGCCCTATCGCACTCGCTATTTGGGCGGTATGCCGTATTGGTGTTGGGTAATGACTACCTACGCCTCCCCTGTGCAAGCTATCTCTCCTTTTTGAAAGATCTGCAAAAGAACGATATCATGCCCTCTCTTCACAACAATAACCTCGAGATGGCCTCTAACGGCCGTTGCAAAACGGTATTGCCAAATCGACGCGCGCACCATCTCTTCCGGTCTAATCGTTCGTCCCAAAGAAAGTTCACATATGCAATATCTCGGTGATTTGCCACTCTATATTAGTCCGGAGTCCGCTGTACATTGATGCTCCCTCATTTGGCCCTCTTTGACTTTAGCCGTTAACCCTGAAACACGGGTGAGAAAGATTGACAAACTTCAACTCTCTATGCCGGTTCCAGATTTTCCGTGACCAATTTCACTGTAACGCTGGTCCACTTCAACGGTAGAAGTATCACCAGTACCGTTGAACTAGCTAATCGAGCCAGCCCAGACACCATGACTTTCCATGTAGCACCAACATGACTACGGAAGATTTTGTATTGGAGCATTTGCGACTCTTTCTCATTGTATTTTTCCATTGTTCTTTAGCTATGGTCGACCTGAGTTATTAACTCATCGTGTCTTTCAGCGTACCAAACGGCTAAAATGATGCGTCGAATGTATACGACATTATGCCACCATCAAAATGGCGCACTTCGAGGGACTAAAAGCTATCTAATCGCGCATGCTGCAGCACTTCGGGTCAAAAGAAAACCATTCTTCATGACCAATGCATGGTCAACCACTTCTCCATACCACTTTAGGCCAGCGTGGAAACATGCGGATACCGCATTGAATCTCACCGCTGAATCGCTATCTCGGCAACTTGCAGCATTCCCTCGCCGTGAGTAGACGTAGCAATATGGAGCAGCAAAAGATTCTTCAGGATTTCACCAGAGACACGCTACGTATAATTGAGAGACCCTTCACCGTGACACTTCCTGCACGCAACTTCTTCCCATTCAAGCTAGCCGCCGTCTTTTACAGCCTGATTTCCCTTCTTCTCCGTTACCATTTTAGATCGGACCATCGGAGTATCTTGAGAAATGTATAGGCTAATATGATTGTCCCACTTGTCTGGTCCGATCAGCTTCATCTGTAGATGAAATACACTCTCACTAATATGAAACAACACCACCGGCTGAAGAAACACGAGGAAGAGATATCATGGATCGAAGATGCTGATGCAATAGACAATGCATGTGGCTTGTCTTAGTCTGAGTACGACAATCAGTTTGTATGATACAACCTTGTAATCTCAACGCAATCAACGTGACACTCTTCACTAGAACTTTCAAGACACAAGAGGGACGTATATAAGAGATGTCTCTTATCAGCAAGAAACATCATCTTACCCACATCTTATGGTGCAAATGCCCACCATGATGTACCTCCAGCTATCTCCATTCATATTTCTCCAGATCTGAATCAAAATCAATTGATTTAAACCAGCCCTGAAGAAGGAGTGATCGCTTATTCTTTACTGTAGTTACAAAGATTCTGCACATGATCACTGCCGTCTTCTTCCATATGTACATGTTTCATTCGACCATCTGGTCTAGTATGTTGGTAAATATGTCGAGACCTGTTGTTGCTTCGTCTGTCTTTGAGACTTGAATAGATTGTTTGCTATACCCACAAATTCCCATGGTAGGAAAGCTATCGATGCATGCTGGGTCTTTCCAGTATAGATATATCGGTATATTGTGAAAGCATCAACACGAGCAAACGAAGGATGATCATAAAAGGTAAGGCGCCTTGATTACTTATTAGGGGAAGGTGGCTAGCCACGCTACACAAGTGTATAGATAACAACAATCAAAGGTGGTGGAAAACGTAGGGGCGAATAGGATACATGTATTAGTGATGCCAACGGCCTTGGCGCTCTGACCTCATCCAAAACTTCGAGTGCGGCGAACGTCGGAGGTGATGCCATCACCAAACTTTCTGTCAACATCCACCAACGACACAAAATGTTTGCAAGACGCGCAATTCCCTCGGTAGTTATCACGAACATATTCCCGCTACGTCCAATGTCTCTAACAATCACCAGGCCTTCCGAGCCGCCACCCGCGCAAGCGCACCTCGCCTTTCCCCAACCACGCGCTTCCTCACACCGTTCCAAGTACGACTGCTTTCAGATGAAGTCCGCTCCGCAATCGACAGAGCCATTGCTTCGTCTCCAGTAGTTCTGTTCATGAAGGGCACACCTGAAACACCCCAATGCGGTTTCTCAAGAGCTAGCATCCAGATTCTGGGTATGCAGGGCGTAGATCCGGACAAATTCACAGCTTTCAACGTACTAGAAGATCAGGAGCTGAGGCAAGGTAAGGAGTTCACACAATGCACGAACTGGGGTGGTCGAATATTTTCGGGTTGCGCTCTGTTTGATTGCTGTCTATTGGTATGGAATGCGCCACTGGGAATATCTTGCTGACAAATGGATCAGGAATCAAGGAATACTCAGAGTGGCCGACGATACCACAGCTATATGTCGACAAGGAGTTTATCGGCGGCTGCGATATTCTTATGACGATGCACCAAGACGGATCGCTCGCTAAGATGCTTGAGGAAAAGGGTGTGGTTGTTCCTGCCGAGGGACAAGGGCAGGCGCCCTAGAAAGCTTATTCATGAACACAGCAGGGATTATAGGACATGCGAACTACATAATACCGTTTTGTGTTGATTGCAAGTATCGTCTAGTAGCTTGCATCACTGTAACAAGAATGTGTATATATGACTTATGAAACATATGCCGTCGGTTGGCCTTTGTGAGCCAATGCTTTCTGATGTGCCATTTCATGTTCTTCCATGATAGATACTGAACGCAGCAAGGCTGTCCCGCATTCAAAAACTACAAAGGGATCACTCTCCAAAACAACATTACCTGCAAAGGTAAAGAATGAAGAAAGGATATGGAAAGCACGCATCAGATACGCACCCAATGAGTGTAACTTTCACAAGTAGAACCCGAGATCCTGATAGATGGCATTGGCAACTAACATCAAATCATCCAGAAGCCAGTAGCGACTATCGCAGACACCTCTACCAGACGACCTCTCTCAAGATCAACAACATTCTCAAAGATCTGCTCACCAGACTTCATGAGAGTACTCTACAGACTGTCCTCCTAAGCGGTAGCCCCAAGAATGCATCTACTTCTCCACTCAAGCTATCAGTACCAGCAAAATACGAGCATCTAGCTTTGCAGCTCCACCAGCCCACCTCGCAGTTCACTCTTAGACTGCGCCGTACCGATAGTCAAGGCTAGGTCGTAAGCTTTGATCAAACGCTCGAGGTCCGCATGTTGCATTACGAGGCGCCGATCGTTGCGCAAACAGAAAAGGTAGCCCAGTTACAGAAAGCATAGGAGGCCGTCGTGGGCGAGATATGGAAACTGGGCGCTACATGTCTTGGAGAGGAAGCGATTCAGGATTTGCTTTTTACTACTACTACTACTACTACTACTACTACTACTACTACTACCGAGCAACATCAACGACTAAATGGTTCAGTGGCATTGCTGTTAGCCCCCTCTTCTTCTTCCTCGCCATCAAAACCTACTGATGCAGAGCCTGCCCTCTTCGTACCCGAACAGGGAACTTCTCCCCTCTCCAAGAAAAATAGGCGTCTCGCCAAGAAGCGTGCTGCGTTCGTTGAAGACGGAGCGTCACAAGCTCAGGATAAATACGGCGCCAGCTGCCCGGCTTCATTTCCGCATGTCCTGTACCAACCGTCGCGATTCGGCTTTGACGCCACGCTCCATGTCCCGCACGGTGAGTTTGGAGAGGATATAGAAGACTTGTATTGAGAGGTTGAGGAAATGGGCGACAAGCAAATTGGTGAGTTTGTTGTGATGGAAAAGGAGCGACGTGCGTTTTGGAAGAAGAAGACGGCTCAGCTTGCGAGTGGGTTGCGAGATGAGTGAGTTGGAAGGAAGGACGGTCACAGCGCTAAGAAACGGGTACTTGTTAGATTCCATATCATGTTTTCCGAAGGAGTAACATGCATGTAAAATGGTCACTTTCAGACAATACGATGAAATAATTTCAGTACGTAATTCAAAGCGTCACAAGCTGGAAGATCGATGCTCCGGGTAAAATGGTGTAAAGTTTGATTTATCTTTATTCTTCTTATTCTTATCTATTGCAAACCATACGACCACAGGACAGAGCGCAATGTATGTTTCTATAAAAAGAAAAAGAAAAACATACGTCTTGTAGCTAACCCACTCCCATGGGTATCGTGAAAAGCAAATGTCTAATAATCTAGATGGATATCTTGAATGTTCAAAACCTGAACCCTCGGAATGAAACGTCTTCTATCCTCCTCTAATTCACTATCCTGGCAAAGAGAGTCTAATCAAAAGAGCTCTTGAAGACCCATCGCTGGTCTTCGGGCTGCTGGAAGGGCACGCCAAGCTCAAACAGGGTCGTGACTGCCTCGGCAAAGTCCTTGAAGAAAACATCATTGTCCTTGGCATACAGTTGGGTGTACTGCTTGAAGCTCTTGTCCTTGACAAGCTCCATGTCAGTGGGAAGCATCATAAGACTCTTGGTCTTGACATCCTCAAACTGCTTGGGACCATTCCACTTCTTGTACGCCCACTTCTCCTCGAGAAGCAGCTTGAAGTAATCGTTGGTCAAGGTGGTGGGAGAGAAGGTCCAGGGGCCGTCGAAGCCGGAGCGGTCAGTATGGCAGCGGCCGAGGGCGTGGGCGCCAGAGAGGGCGACCATAGCACGGTCATCGAATCCCATGCGGCCAAAGATGGCGCGAATGTGGCTGCTATCCTTGGTGGCATCCGGCAGACGGCCATCAGGAGTGCAGAAGGCAACATCACGGTCGGCACGGCCAGCACGATAAGGGATCTTGGGGCCCTGCATCTCCTGGATGGCACAAACACCACCGAGAATCCACAAGTCCGAGTAGCTAATCCAAGGGAAAGCCTGCTTGACAGGGTCGAGGAAGTCGCGAGCAGCCTTGAGACCAGCATTGGCACCGTGGTCAGCTTCGGGGGCAAAGCGCATGGTTGCGCCGTTGGAGCCACCAGTTCCCGTCAACTTGTCATAGCTGTAGCATGTCAGTTGTTGGTTCAGTGGTATCAAGTACAATTGAGTATACTTACGTTCCCGAGCAGTGCCATGCCAAACGCAGCAGCACAGGACCGTAGCTGCCATCATCGTAGTTGTCGTTCTCCTCCAATCTCTTGGCAATTGCGTCGTAGACCTTCTGGTAATCCTCGAACCTGGGAGTGAAGACCTTGGAGCTAGTCTGGCCAAAGAGCTCTGGCTTGTATGTGTATAGGGCGTAGGCACCAGCACCGACAAGCAGAGCACCAGCACCGAAAGCTAGACCGGTTGGGTTGCCCTCATGCTTATCAGGGCCATCTTCCTGGGAGGCGTATCCGCGTCGTTGGTTGCGGAAGGCGTTTTGTGTAGGTGCAACGAAGCGGGCAGATGAGCGGATGGCGGTGGTGCGGAATGAGGGAGCAACAGTGCGCAGAGCGCGGGAGAAGCTTCGAGAGGCCGATGCCATTGTGTGGATGTTTGTGTATGTAGGTGTTGATAAGCTACAAATGACTTGCTTGTATCTAGAAAGTTCAATTGGCGGAGGCAGAGCGCGAAGTGAGGGGGCAGGAAGCCAGCGAAAGTGAGACGATAAGAGACGCCAGCAAAGGGAGCGTGAAGGTTTTTATGAAGACACAAGTATTTTCTCAGTGTCCCGAGGGCGATAGTCATTCTTTCTGGAAGGCACGCCAAAAGACCCACCTCTGGCAGCTGTGGGCCAATCACATGCGTCGCAGAGCATGGCTGTCTGGACCCTTGCGATTACGATATCTGAAGCAACGGCGACACAGGCCCGATAGCTTAATCTGTGCTTCTCGACTCGCCGAAGAGCGGCTTCTCGGTAGGAATCAGCTTACACACATAGGCAGACCCACGGCAGTCAAGCAGACGAGGGCCAAGTGGTTTTGTAACTTGTTTGCACTAGGCACTGCCGCGTTGCATATTCCGACCTCGTCCCGAGACAGATCGACGCAGGCCAGGCGCGCGGAACGAGGGGCAACGGCATGAGGCTCTGCGGCAGCCGCCTCGAGATGCCCTTGTCGTCTTCAACAGACTATCTGAAGTGTGTGTAGTATACTGCCTCTGTCTCGCCATTGCTACACCAATGGTTTTTGGCTGCGGTCGTTTCTGCGTTAGTCACCGTTCCTGGGTACGGCTGCTGACTGACCAATCACAATGCTGTCATACTAAGCCATGGCGGCGTGACTCGTGCCGCACCCACATGCCGTCCCCATGCCGTCCCTCTCCAGCGCGGTACAAGCGGCAAATAGTGGATGCTTTGCTACAACAGGCAAATCCCTCCATCTAGACAGAGGGCCCCACTGTCTTACGGTTACACATGCATCCAGGCGGCAAATCTGTCCGGTAAGAAGCCAATTCCATTACATACTCCAACCCAAACACACGCACATACATATTAGGGCTGACAAAAAGGAAACAATCAAACATGATAACTCCGGCTGGCCAGAACCCTCCCGCTGATGATACCAAATCTTGACCTAGCGCCTTGCAGGGAAATGCTCATGCCCATGCTCGTGTAAAAAACATAAAACCAGTCCCAGCTCCAGTACCGAAAATGCAATCATTAACCCAAGTATTCCCCCCCTTTCGTAAGCCGCTCGTCCAAGCGTGAAACATGCAAAATGAAAAGCAATCAGTGAAACATGTGGTGGTGGTGGTCTGGCGGGGGCAGACCCATAATAGTACCAAGGTAGAGATGCGCATGAGGGTAGCCGGTCATGCTGCTTGTAGGTGTTGAGATACCCGATGACGATGCTGTAGGCGGATGCGACTCTTCTAGACTTCTTCGGGCTGCGATTTCTGCTGCTTCCTTGACAATCTTGGGCTTGAGGAGATCCCATGAAGTGTTGTTGGGATCCTTGGGGATAGTCACAGCGCGTTTATACGACGGACAAGCCTCGAGTTCCTTGATACCAATAGGTGGCGACAGTTGGGCGGCCTTTTCCTTGAAGTAGGCCTTGCGCCTAGATTTCTTTGAACTGTACTCGGCAGTCCTGGCAGTCCGCTGCATCTCTTCCCACTGTTCCATTTTCTTTGCAAACGCTTGACGTTCTTCTATCCTTTGAGCCTTTGAAGCAAGCCATGCAGCGATCCACGCGGGAGATTCGTTTGCGTCGGGAGCTCGTTCACGCAACTCACGATTGTACTCTGCAACGAGCTTGTCCACGTCTGATCTTAGATAGATTGTCTTGAGTGCATGCGTGCTTGCTGGGCCAACCCCGACAAAATTGCCCCAAGAATCGTAGATACCACTTGGAAGAGCAGCACGGATGAAGGAGATGTCTTCACCGTCTGGACCTTTGAGCAGAGCTATGGCTTCGTACTCCTTGATGACCTGGTTTGTTAGACAGTCCTTGCACATGCGGCGCAGAAAAGCCCAGAATGTCTTGCGAGTGTTCTAGACGACGGTCAGTCAAGTTAATAAATTTGCCGTGAGAAGTCTGTAGACGGTGCGGGTATTGTCACTTACGGGCGCTCCGCAGTCCATACAGCCATGACCGTGGCGCAGATGGGCAAACTGGAACTCTGTCAGGCCTGGAGGAGGGTCCGGCATGTCGGTTCCGTAGTAGTAAACCCTGCTATGCTTCCAGAGCATGGGGTTGTCGCGCAGGAAGCGGTAACATGAAGCGATTTTGCTGCGCATCTCGAGCAACTGGGCGGGGTCCGAGTAGGAGAGAATGATGAACCAACAGTCGAGGTCGACACCCTTGGACAGGACCTTGCCCCTCCGTAACCTGGTGGGCTTACGTTGCTGCCACTGCTGGGTGAGGAGAGGGCGGGCGGTTGCGGTTGCGAGTGGAGCCATGGCATTGCTGGCATAGGAAGCGCTCGAGTGTGCTGCTTGGTCGTATTCTCTCTTGCTGTCCTCGCCCCGCTTGCGCTTCAGACTACCTTCGACCTTTGCCAAGGGCACGTTGTGGGAGCGCACCTCTTGCGCAAAAGCGGCACGCTTGCCAGCGGGCGGGCGGCAATTGATTACTGTTGCATAGGCTTGGTCGGGCGTCTGCAGAAAGGGCGTCTGCTTGTTGACTGTAAAGGCGACATATTTGGCATTCACCATTTCGGGTCAGCAGGCCAGCCGCTCGGTGGGATGTGGGATCGAGGCGGGTGGCAGGCAGGCAGACTTCCGGAGGTAGGGTCGTCCTTTTTCACGGCGTCGTGGCGGCAGTATGGAGGAGAGGAGGGTGGAGCGGTCAGCGGGCTGGGGAAGCAGGAAAGGAGCGTGGACGACGCTGAGACTTCGGCGTGCCCAGGCTCGAGTGAGGTCGGCTGCCGAACCAGTCTTGCCCGGTAGCAAGGTTGACCCTTCGCATACAAAACCTTGGCCTGCTCCTTACTAAGCTCGACCGTCCTATACTTGAGCTGTGCGCGGCTGACATCACTCGAGTGGGCTTTTTGTCGGATGCTGGCATCCACCGTCAGTCTAGACATGCAACATCCATACGTATATGAGTATGTACGCACACATGTACGGACAGCCGCCACACAATCTGGATGCCGTCTCGTAGGCTGACTGGAGGGGCATGCGACCAACACCGACACCAGCACCAGCACACCAAGATGAAATACGACCGCCGCGGAACACTGGCCTTTGAGCATTCAGCCATTTTTTTTCGCAATTAGGCCGACGACGACGACGACGCCACGCCGGCGATCACATGGCGGCATCGACCATGACTTACTTCGACGCGAGGCGCGCGCCGCTCGACCCTTAGTTTTTTTTCGAGCGCCGCCGTGGACGGGCCCGGCAAAAGTCGCCTGGGCTGGGCGTGGCGGTGGTGAAGGGGGGCTCTCTCTGACAAGGGCTCTTTGGGCGACATGGGCTGGAAGTGGATGCAACAAAGGTTACGCCATCGCCTGTGCTATCCGCGACTTGGCGCTGGGGAAAGCAGCGCGCACGAGCGGCGATAAGATATGGCGACAGGCGCCCTGCCCATGCCCATGCTCAAGCCCAAGAGAGATGCGGGGTTAGCGGACAGGGCGCGCATCCACGCCGGGCTAGAGTCGGTAGCTAGACCGAGCGACCTCGGCCTGCTCATCTGTCAACATAATTGCTTCTCTCACGCCGCCTCCCAAGTGCCATTACAAGCGTCACCCCGGCTTCCGCTTCTACCACGGTACAGTCGCCTGCCATCCAGGCCCTGTCATATCAACCCGACTGCCTGCCACACGGTCCGACATTGCCCAAACACCGCCATGTTTGGCAAGACTGAAAGTAAGTTCAGGGTTTCATGGCCACGGCGCCAAGTCGTCTCAGACCTCATCTACAAGGCTTGTCCCTCTGTAGACTCGTCGCCAACCTTTTTAGCCCGGCACACGGTTCTTTTGGCCACTATACATGTGCATTTGTTGGTGGTAGAGCGGCAGTCTGACCATTTGCAGAGCATCCGCCGTCTCCGGAGTTGGATAAGCAGGATGCCCTTCCTCGCTACGACAACAACCACGATGACGACTCTGAACATGTCACTTGTCCGCCCACCACCACCGACACCAAACTCATTGCCAAGATAGATCTCCATGTCATCCCGTTCCTGTGCATCATGTACCTGCTGGCCTTCTTGGACCGAGTCAACATTGCCAACGCCAATGTCTTTGGCCTCAGCCAGGAACTCGACCTCAACAGAGACAACCGCTACAATACGGCCCTTGTCATCTTCTTCGTCCCGTATATCCTCTTCGAGATCCCGTCCAACATCCTGCTGAAAAAGATGAAGCCCCGCATCTGGCTTAGTATATGCATGTTTGGCTTTGGACTCGTCACCATGCTGCAAGGTTTTGTTCAAAACTACGCAGGACTGCTGACCACCCGCTTTTTTCTCGGCGTCTTCGAGGCTGGAATGTGAGTGAGCTCTGAATTAATTGCTACGAAGGCCGAGCTGATATCCAAAGGTTCCCCGGCGCCTTCTATCTCATTGGAATGTGGTATAGAAGAAATGAGGCTCAGAAGCGCTTCTCCTTCTTCTTCAGCTCCACCACCCTTGCTGGGGCCTTTGGAGGACTACTCGCCAGTGCCATTGGTAAGATGGATCACATGCGAGGTTATCGCGGATGGCGTTGGATATTTATTCTCGAGGGACTGTTAACCGTTGTGGTGTCCTTTGCATTCTTCTTTTTGCTACCTAATTTTCCCGAAGAAGTCAAGTGGTTGTCGGAGCCTGAGCGCGCCTATGTCAAGCACCGCCTCCAAGTCGACCAAGGCCGCTCCGCCCGCGAGCGCCCCATCAAAGCGCGAGACGTTGGAAACGTCTTCAAAGACCCCAAGATTTTTATTGGTGGCTTGATGTATTTTGGCTTGATCGTACCGGCATATGGCTATGCATACTTTTCACCCGCCATCATCCAAGGCTATGGCTACTCGCCCATCCAGACCCAGCTCCACAGTGTGCCTCCCTGGGCTGCTGCTTTTGGCTTTGCCATGCTTGTTGCGTATTTCTCTGATCGCCTTAGACACCGCTTCCTTTTTGCCATTTTCCCCATTTGTGTCTGCATCACCGGCTTCGCTATCCTCATCTCTGTGCACAACAATCACGACTTGCAGTATGCAGCTCTCTTCCTGGTCGCTATGGGAGCTTATACAGCCATGCCTGTTATTGTTTGTTGGTTCAATATGAATTTGGGTGGACATCACAGAAGAGCTGTGGGTAGTGCGTGGCAAGTGGGTTTCGGTAAGTTTTGTCTTTTTTTCCTCGTTTGATCCTTGTTTGCGCAAAACAAATCTGACATTACATACAGGCAACATCGGCGGAATCATTGCTACATTTTCTTTTCTCAAAAAGGATGCACCCAAGTACACAAAAGGCTACTCTATCAGCATTGCTTTTGTAGTCTTAAGCGCGCTTAGCTGCACTGCGTACTTTATTATGTGCAACTGGGCGAACCGGAGGCGCAACAAGAGTGTGCGAGATGTGGGGTTGACCGAATACGAAAAGACGGAAATGGGTGATTTGAACCCAGATTATCGATATCTACTTTAAATTTAGGGGGGGGGGTCGAAGTGCTTGGATGATGAATGAAAAGAGAGCCAGGATGAAAAATCTAAAAGGGAACAAACTTTACAATCTAGCATGAAGAATATTTGCATCTAGACTGACCGCCGGTATGAAATATAATCCTAGATAGATGTTCACCATGTATGTATCATTACCGAATTAATCTAAGTATCTTATAATACATATCATAACCCCTTTACTGGTTAAGCCGGTATAGTTTTCCATCACAGTGTCGATAAGACAGTTCTAGATCGACTACAGCCAAGAAACCCCTCTATCTCCTAGAACGTGTCATATCCAGTGGGCATTCTAGCTTGCCCAATTCTTCTTTTTTCGCCAAATCTTACAAGGCCCTGGCGCTTGAACAATCCTAGTGTTATACACTACCCAATATCCTGTACTGCGCTTTATCTAATTCATGACTTGACGACTCACACCATGGGATATGGTAAATCGCCGTGCGAAGATCTTGCTCAATTCGCATTAGCAGACCGTTTTATGTAAAAAAGAAGTATAAAATATCCACCCCCCAAATATTTTCAAGTCACACTCTGCGCAGTCGTAATACTATCCGAATCCACCCCCTCTTCACTCCCATGCCCCCAAATCTCCTTACTCTCACTCTCAACACCCCTCATCGCCTTGGCCACCTCCTCCAACCTAACAACTACCTCCTGAACCCCCTTATTCACCTTCTCAAAATAACGATCATTCTCCTCCCTCCTCTTCCGGCTAAGCTCGATATCCTTCTCCGTCTCCTCCTCTAACTTAATCCGATCAAACAACTTATCCCCCTTCCCCGGACCAGCACCACTCACCATACTCTGCGCCTGTACCTCTGTAGCCTTGGTATCTTGCGACTTCTTCTTCTGCTGCTCGGGCGCCTGCTCGTCGTCTTCTGAGCGGGCCCATGCTCTCGCGAGCTCGATCTGGGCTCGGCGCAGCTCGTCGAGGGCGCGCGAGTGCTCGGAGCCGAAGACAGTCATGTCAGGGCCTTTTATAGCGCTGAGTTCGACTTCCTCAAGTGTGTTTTGCATCTCGGCCCATATTGCTTCGGCGCGCGACGAGGCTTCTGCGTCAGCTGCTTGGCTTTGTTGGCGCTGGCGCCGTTGGAAGGGCGCTGAGGGGTTTGTCGATACGGGGCTGAGATAATCGCCATCGCTGGTGGTGTTTGGGGGGAGGGGACGCTTGGGGTCAGGAGAGAGTAGGGAGCGTTGGCGGACTAGAGGTGTTTTTGCTGGTGTTCGGGTCTCATGTAGTGATGTGTTGGAGGCATTGTGTGATGGTGGGCCAACGAAGAGAGCTGGTGCTGGCAGACGATTTGTCTGCATCCTGGAAACCTTCTTGTCGTCTTTAGAAGACATGTTCTAGCATGCAGCGTGTATATTCACAGGAGCAGATGTTGAAGACGAAAGGTGATTGTAGCTTCACGCGACTAGTTATAAAAGCTAGCAAGGGCGTTGAGTGTCAGAATGCGAACATCAATTTCTCCTTTGTATTTGTCGAAAGCTTGAAGCTAGTAAGACTAGGGTTATGCGCTTCGACAGAGAAGATGGTGTTCAGTGTTCCTAAGGTCCTCGGCTCAGCTCAATGACGATGGACCGATAAGATAGCTATACTCCTGCAGCCGCGCTAGCCACGACAGAAGCGACGCCAAGGCCCGTGCGCACACACGCTGGGTGAGATTTCTCCTTCCCGTTACTCTTCGACGTTCGCGATACTAACCATCCACTCTCCAGCACATCACTCGTCAACACCGCAATCATGGGTAAAGGTACGCAATCATCTCATCCAGGCGTCTCCAATCTGTTCAGATCCCATTTCCCCTCCCTCTCGCCTTGCACGACACCATTGTGCACTTTGCAGCTGCTTACACCATCCTCCAGGAAAGCCAAGAGGTCTCAACGCCGCCCGCAAGCTCCGCAACCATCGCCGTGAGGGACGATGGGCCGATCTCCACTACAAGAAGCGTCTCCTTGGAACCGCCTTCAAGTCTTCTCCCTTTGGTGGTTCTTCCCACGCCAAGGGTATCGTCCTTGAGAAGGTCGGTGTTGAGGCCAAGCAGCCCAACTCCGCTATCCGAAAGTGTGTCAGGGTTCAGTTGATCAAGAACGGAAAGAAGGTCACCGCTTTCGGTACGTCACGCCATTCCAAGAATTGGGTGCAGCTACAGCAAAGCACTTGTGGCAAGTATGCATCAAGAAGCCGTGGCTAACATGAAAACAGTCCCCAACGACGGTTGCTTGAACTTTGTGGACGAGAACGACGAAGTCCTCCTTGCCGGTTTCGGTCGTAAGGGCAAGGCCAAGGGTGATATTCCCGGTGTGCGTTTCAAGGTCGTCAAGGTTTCCGGTGTCGGTCTCTCGGCACTCTGGAAGGAGAAGAAGGAGAAGCCCAGGTCATAGAGTACTGGCCAACAAGGAGTCAAGGAAGGAAATGAACGTGGACTACCAGCACGCCATGAACGAATGATGGAATCCGCGGATGGCCGCGGAAGTTTACCGGAGTCTTTACATTGGGGATATCTGTGCTTCAACTCGGCATATGAAAGTCATGATATGCTGGAGGGTTAGATAGCAAATCTAACTCGTTCAAGCGCCCACTCGTTTGTGTGTCGCTACTGGAGTAATGCGTAGTCCTTCACAATGCCTTGGTGGGGTAATGGATGAATTGCTATTACCTAATCGATTTACCCGCGCATGTCGTGTGCAAACATGGAAGGTTAGCCGCGTACTGAATCAACGCCCCATTCGCTATGCATACATATCCTATTCGTGGTCCGTATACTACATATGAGTATCACAACTTACATACAGATCCCGTCTGCGACTTTGATAACTCGGGCCAATGGAACATAGGAAAAAGTGTCACCAGCTGCCGGGTATCTCAAACAAAACGCCAATCAATGCGTTCATCATCCCAAGGAAAGAGAAAAAAGGAGAAGGTAAACAGTGGAAAAACAAAAGGAGAATAGGCGTTTGCCAGTACCAAACCAAAAAGTATCGATGATGCAAGCCAAGTCTCTCTATCTCTCTTTCTCTCTACTTGGAGAACATGGCATTGAACGTATCCTCTAGTCCCGTATCTTTCATCGTACCATAGTAATCATACTTGAGTTTGGGGCTAGCAAACAGCTCTGCATCCCTCTTGACATTTTTCGGTACGCCCAGACCCTCTAGGCCCTGTGATTTGCTAGTCCCATCCGCACCCCTTGTCTTCTTCTCTTCTTTGAAGAAGTTGGGCATGCTCTCTTTGAGTGGCGGCGCCCATACTCCGCGTTTCCATGGGTCGGGTTTTTGGTTGGCGGCGAACGAGGTAGGAGGTGCAGCGGGGACGCGATGGCGGAAGGGATTTGGGTCTTTTCGGGCGAAGATGGAGTGGGGTTCTCTGGGTTTGGCGGAGGGCGAGGCTTGTTGCTGAGCAAAAGTCGGACGCTTGGAGAATTGGTTGGATATGATTTCGGGTGGTTGAGCGGAGAAGCGACCTTTGGTTGGGGTCCAGTCCATATCGTCGGCGTCTAGAAAAGAGTTGCGTTGGGCAAAGGGAGTTGTGGCTTCGGTCGCGTGTGTGGTGTAGGATGATTCTGTGAGGGTAGGTGATGGCGGGGCGGGAGAGGATTCTTGGTAGCCTTGGATTCCAGATGCAAACGAATGTGCCATGCTATCGAAGAGGTCCGCTTGCGGGTGTGCAGGATGGTAGGAGCCTCTTCTTTCTTTCTTTGCGCTGCTAGGTTCACTGAGGACAGGCTCTTGGGCTGCCTTTGGGAATGAGGGTGCGGCACCGTAGACTATGCGGACAGTTTTCCAGGTCAGGACAAACGAGAGGGCAAGTACACTGGCCATGACTGTGTGAGTGTATCGGAAGCTCTGCAGGGTATCGCCGTTGACTGTAGTATGCTGCCAGTAGTAGAGACTCGCAAAGCGGAGTGCGATGACGGCAGAGCGGATTGACCATAGTGACTTGAGTCCATGCATTCTGCCCGTGAGACTGTTCGTTTTGAGCTTCAGCTTGGGATTCCACCAGATAGTGAGCAGGTCGGCAAGGATAGCGTATTGCAACCATTTGACTATATACGGCGAAAGTACACAGGTGTGGTCGACGGAGCGTGAGAGAAACGCTTGGTGCAGACATGCACTCCAAGCGAAGATCTGGTCTTCCCGAATAGCCTCATTGGGGACCATGATTAGCCCAGCGACATGCCAGAGCAGTCCCACCACCGTACTCAAGATGTAAGTCCACTCGGCTAGCGAAATAGCCTTGAGCGTCCATGCTTGTCGCGCCGTGTATACAACTGTGCGCTTCTCTTTGCTCGCTTCCATTATGCGCGCCAGGTTATCTGCTCTCGCTACATGGTTCGCATTTCGTATCTGGTTTTGGACCTGGGGTAGACAGTTCTTGCAGACCTGTGGGTAGCGCTCCTCAAGCTCGATCTTGTAGTTATCGTAGGCTGCGAGGTATTGATCATACTGCGGATCGTCTTCTTCTGGGAGGAATTCGGCGAGCAGACTGGTGTATAGTGTTTGGTTGTGTTGACACGCGTCGCAGAAGATGTTGTCAGTGGGAGCGGACATAAAGGGTGAGGGTGAGCGCGAGGGTATGTACTGAAGCACAGGCGCAGGGATAGTTGCGATCTCCTCTATCGGTGGATCCGTGATGTTTCCGCGCTGGTAGAAAGTCAGTTGAGGAGAAGTCGCATATTTATGTCTTCAATCATTCACCTCATCAAAGTGATTCACGGCGTCGCATTGCGGACAGCGGTATCTTTTGGGTATCTGGGAAACGCTTTCTCGCGACTGAACATTGCAGTAATGACAGCGCAGTCTGCGCCGTAGGAGCGGCATGTTGGCGACAAGATCTGGAGGTTGATGGGATGGTTGATGTGGGCGGACGATGTCATCGGCCAGCTGGTTCGGGGTGGCAGAATGGCGACGCTGACACACCGCCCGGGGACTGAAGCGGAAATTTGGATCGCAGTATCGAAGGCACTGGTCACCACCAAGAGGGTCAACTTCCCGCCAGCCCATCGCCGCAAAGACCAAGTCATTGAAGCGAGGCGCTTGCAGTGAATCCGAAAAAAGTTAATTGACCCGGAAAATCCATTGCTGGCACCCGTCCCCGCCCACTGCTCCATGGCTCGGTAGTCCGCAAACCCTCCCACATCTACGTCTATCGCCGCTACCCTACCCATCATGAGCCAATTAGTTGTCCGGCCAGGACGCAACGCCGCCCGTCAGGCCAAGAAACTCAAGGAAATCCGCAAAACGAAGCATGCAATCCAATGGCACGAGCGAGAGCGAAAGAAGCGGCAAGAACTTATGCAGGAGCGATGGGAGTCCAAGCAAGCCGTCCTCCAACGCATTATGTGGGAGAATGAAAATGTCAAGGGCGTCAAGAAACGTGCTCTGGCTAATGCCAAGGAAGATTGGAAGTTGGGCCCTTTGAGGCCAAACCGTGCCACCGGCCCAAATGCAGACAAGTACGGCGCTCTCACATCGTCTCAGATGCAGAAACCAGAAATCTCCGCCAAGACGCAAAAGAACCGCAATGCTGTCAGAGAGAAGAAGGGAATGGAGCTTGAGTATCCCTTGGTTGTTGATGATAAGAAGTACTTTCCCATTGTCAAGAATGATCGTGTCGTTATTCTTAAGGGTAAAGATGCTGGAAAGATTGGTGTTGTACAAGAGATCATCCCTCGGACTCACGATGTTATTGTAAAGGATTTGAACATGGTTTGTATTCTTCCCTTGGGCCACAAAACTCAGACTGACACTTCTTAGCAATATTACGATTCCAATGTCTTCAGTGCTGCCAATGAAGACATGGGCCCCAAGCATCCAAACGAGGTGCCGCTTCCTTTAGACCATGTTCGCCTTGTGATACCCTCTGAGATAAACCAAGGAGGTGTGAAGCGTTACAAGGACGTTATCGTAGAAAAGATCTTTATGGAGCGACACACAACCGGCATCGACCCCTACACCGGGACTGACTACGGCAGCTCAGAAATACCGAAGGAGCACCAATATGACCCTCGCAACGGCCTCCCCATATTCCACCGCTACATCTCAAGTACTAATCACCGGATCGAATGGCCATGGGAACGCGAAGAATGGACTGAAGATGTCGATGTCACGAATGAGCAAAGCACAGATAACCGCTCATGGCTCAGGAAGACCATGTCCACCATCGCCCAACCTTTCTCCGGCCTGGATCGCTGGCGAAGCAGCAACAAGCAGAGCAGAGAGCAGCAAGACTTGAGTACCCTGAAGACAGACGATATCGAAGATAACTTCACAAAGATCGAAAAGGAGCAACAAGACAGGTTCAAGACACAACCTCCAAGAAGCAAGGACCTTGAACTCCCAGAGGCATACGACGACGTAGACACAACGCGCAACATTGTCGAGAGATCAGAGTCCATGTCTTACATCCTCGTCTCCCCACCTTTCCCCGACACTCTCGGTGAAGAACTCCGCGGCGACATCCACAATCTCTCCATCAAGGCACAGAAGGAACATGATCCCCAGGCGTCGCGTGTCAAGATCACCAGGCACTCTGAACAAGGCGCGCTCGCACGAGAGATTGTCAAGCAGCAGAAGCAAGCAGCCGAAGCAATGAAGACGCCCATGCAGTTGCGATGGGAGCTGGAGCAAAGGAAGAAAGCAGAGGCGCTGAAGAAGCAGCCTCTTGTGGACCAGGAGAGCCTGCTAGCCGCGCTGGGCCAGCACATGCAGAAGAAAGCTGCGAAGCCGTACCTAGGCAAGAAGCAGATTGCTGCTCAAAACCAGGAGCTGGACTAAGCTTTCTTCAAGTGCAAGGTTGCGTTGTAGTCTCCGGGCAAGAAGAAGAAGAGAGATTTGTAACATAGAAACTTCTGTACACATAGCCGCGAAACTGAAAGCAGCAAATCTCAATCCAGGCCCTCTTGCATAGTATATCATCATCATAGTTGAGGGGGGGTATCTTTCGCTGTGAAATGCACATCAAACGCCATCATCTACCTCTTTTTCTCCTATGCATACCACATCGTTCTTGTAAATTTCTCATTACGTGCACACTTTCCTTACATTCATCACACCAGAACGCCCCAGTGCTCTGCTCTTCCACCCGCACCTTTCAGCTCCTCCCACTGCACAAGGAACCGATCGACGAATCGAAGCAAGATCTTGCCGCTTAAACTAAGCGTCTTGACTCGTGCAAAACTTTCCACATACATAGTTTTGCACTTGTGCCTGCTTTCTGCGCCTTTGATATTAAAGAAACGCAATATGAGGCTTGCGAGAATAACGATAACGGCTGTAGCTGGCCCATTGGTGATGATCAGGTCGGGAACGTCGGCGGCTGCAACTTCGTAGGGGGTTGTGGGTGCTTGGCCCGCGAGAGGCGGGGGTGCGCCGAGGAGCGGTGTGAAGCATGCGAATAAGGTGTACAGAGCGGAAAACGGTGTTGTAAGCAGTGACTGATGGATCTTCCTTGCACGCGGTACGATGGCTATGTTGTAATGATGGGGTCCTATGCATGCCGGGCTATCATCTCCTCTAGTTGTATCCAGCACACGTGTCTGGCCGTTTGTATCCGTGACTTGCATCGTTGGTCTTGTTGCTTTTCCATCACTCTCGTCTGCGTCTTGTCCGTTCACCACCTTTTCTTGCGCCTTCTCCCTCTTTCTCGCAGCATCTTGCAAATCCTGCTCAAACTGCGCAGCGCGTTGTGCGGAGAAGGCGTCGCCACTGCTGACTACGTATGTCCTATGTGTGTACTTTCTTGTGTCGAGGTCGCGGAGTAGGCATAGCATTTCGTGAGTGTGGCCCCCGGATCCGAGCACGATTAGCACCCGCGTTGCGAGTGGGCGCTTGCGCCGGAGTGGTCGCGTTTTTGTGCTTGCATTGGGTATAATAGCGAGAAGGCGTAGAGTAAATGCGACTAGAAGGGTGGCGAGGGTTGCTATGAAGAACGAGAGAGTGTAGAGGGTAGATGGTGGGGGAGCCATTCTGGGAGTTGCTATCGTGACGGATCGGATTGCCCGCGGCGGCTGTTGAGGCAATTATATTTGCAAAAGCTTACACTGATTGCTTTTGAGGGCAGCTAGACAACGTGCAGTTTGCGAGACATCGTAGAGCATTGTTGATGGCTTGGACTCGGGTTACTGTTCATGCAGGTGAGAGGTGAAGTGGTTGTGGCCATTGGCCAATGGCCAATGGCCAATGGCCAGTCGCGAACGGAAAGAACATTCCGAACACGAGTTCGCATGACAAAGTTTGGTGATCAAGCATCCCTATGAACACCGACCCAAGGTATACATTTCTGTGCCTATAGTTCGCTTTCTCACAGCACGAAGAGCAATCTTCATCTTTGTATATCTCCAACATCTATTTCTTATGTAATGAAAATTTAGTGTTATGCACAAGGACCATACAGTGATTAATTTCAACGTGATGATTTGAACCATTGGATATAGTTTAGTAAACCGCCTAGAGAATATATATATACTAAATATGGAGACGAAGCAAACCGCTATGCAAAATTAATAGGAGCCAGGCCTACATCATTGCCTTCCTCATGGAACACTTGCGCTGGCAACTACATCTTCCCAAACAGGCCAATACGCATCTTCCCCTGGTTCATCCATCTGCCATATCAAACTCGGATTTCTTCTCATCACACCTTCATGTTCTCTCTTCAAGCCAGCCAACCGCTCACTCAATATTCTCATCTGGCCCACAACGCATCTTAACTCCCTGCCCTTTGCTGTTGAGGGAGAGACCTCCCCTTTTAAATCGGATAGCGGCCCCACAAGCCGTGTGAGTGTGGGCGGTAAGCTGTACCGGAATGATGCTTCGACCCACGATGTGACGGCGAGGCGTGAACATAGGAAGGCGCTGAGAGCAGGAAGATAAGCGAGTGTATCTGTCGTGGAGGAGGTGATAGAGTGGTGAGAAGATAAGGTTAGGGCGCGACTTAGGTGTATAGGCCAACAAAGTGCCGCATAGCGTAAAAAGGGGAGGTGGGTATCGAAGGGTATGGTGCGAATACCGGTTGGTCTCGAGCTGCTGTTGCGTGGGTTGAGTACAATTGGTGCTACAGCGTGGTTGTTGTCACCGTCGGATGAGGACAACGACTTGTAGCCGCTATCACCAGATGAGTTTGTTCGCTGACTCGCGCCACTACTGGCTGAAGCGGCTGGAGGCGTGGGCGGGTTGTGAGGGTGTAGTACGCCAAGTGGCTGCTTCGGTACGCTGTAGACAAGATAAGAAAGACAATCGGCTGCAAGATGTCCGTGTACACCACTCTCGTTATACAGACTAAATTCCGATGTATGAGAAGCAGAGGATTGGAGGAAGTCGCGCACGGATGCATGCGTGAAAGAAACAGCGTCGTTTGTGACTAGAAGTAGACCGCAGCTGAGCTCTTCCAACGCGTTGAGGATATCCATCGTATGTGATGTATCATTCTCGTCTGTACTCTGTGTAGACAGAGCCGCTTGTAGCGCAGCTGAATCCAGGTGATGGATTCCATGAGACAACCAGTGGAAAGTACTAGTGATAACTCGCTTCTTCTTGTGTGAGTGACGCGCCAGCGCATCGATCATAGTGTGGTAGAGTGAGCCCAGCCCTTTCAACGACTGAACATTCAATAGAAGGCTTAATCGTTCTTCTGGTGAAATCAGTGGTGACTGAAGCAACTTCAGAAGCATAGAAGCCCATAGAAACTCTCCATTTGCTGCCTGTGCGAATTGAGGAATGAGCGTTCGGTCCATGGAAATACCAAAAAAGCCTTGGTCTGCCAGTCGATTTAGCTCTGGTGTTAAGTAATTCTCAATGGCCATGGCGTTATGTGGGCTTTTGAGAGAAAAAATGTGAGGGGCATCGGATGCCCACTTTTGGTATTCCAACGGTATCTTCAAGTCCGGTCTGCTGAACAAGATGACTCTCGCATCAGAACCTCGGCATAACCTTGCCAACAATCCCAAAAAGACTTCAGTGTTGCTGCATTCATCGATACCGTCAATCGCGATATAGGTAGGATGTTGTCGCAAAAGTAGAGTAAGAACGTCTAATACCTCGTCTGTATTTGCATGTTCTCGAAATGAAGTTTTACGTAGCAACAAGCATACAGCATCGAGGGTAGAATGATCATTGCGGTGCAACTGAAGCAGCTGATGTGACAAGGCTCGTAAGGCATCGTCTGGATGATTATGCTTGGAATGGAGTAGACTGAAACGGTAGTGTGCGATTACGGGAGGCTCATCACAGATATTAGGATCTTCAGCCTCAGCAGTAAGGTTCTCGATTACTGAATGTGATATGAAGGTTTTTCCAAAACCAATCTGTGCTATATGATGTTAGTACTCAGTCAGCTCATGGATGATGCAAAAATTCCAACTTACCCTGAACAAACAGTACCCTATGTTGCCAACTATTCAACAAATAATCTGCATCGTTGGCTACTGCTTTTTCAAATGGTTGATCTCGCCATTTACAGTAAACTGAACTTTGCAAGAACCATGCACATGAGTCTGGGCTGTACTGTCTGGGTTGGCGATCGACTTGACTTGTAGCAGGCGAATTGCAAAGCCAGGTTCGCATTTTTTCCACCCTCCTCCATCGTTTAACAGCTCTTTGCCCGTCATGATCCAAATAATCGCCCCCTCTACTTTGGTCCTGATTTTGCAGAAAGTCAAGGTAGTGCTTGCGATGATGTGAGATATCGGAGTAGTTTTGAATGTCGTTTTGCGTCTCTTTTTCCAGCCACCTTCTTTGTTTGGCCAATCGGACTTCCATACGCGAAATGCGTGAGTCAAGCGGCCTCCATGACATTGTATGAGCTGTCTCAGGGATTAGCCAGTCTAACGCACGATCGGTTTACTGACACAGCCTTGACATGTGAATCTTGCAACGTACCTTGACTCCCTCGACAGAAAATGCAGTAAAGTTCTAAGAACAGCTGTACAAAGTCGGCATATACATAAGACATAAGTGCTGCTAAATGACAGTCTTCGTCTCTGACATTGGAGTCCGGAGTGTTTGCACTGCAAGCCTCGTATATTTGCTGATACGGAGGTATGGCATGGGCAATGGCTTCCAACATATCGGCGACCTTTTCAAGAAGAAGGAGATAGGCACTGCTCATCTGCCTCTGTTTAGCATAGTGTGCATCCAGCTGCGGTTTCATCTTACCTTGATGACTAGTCGGAGCGCACCCCAGAACCAGCTAATCCATTCTGGTTGGAGCTTTATGCATGTGCTTAGAAGGTCGAAATATGGCGCAAGAGTACGAATGAACAATGTGAGTTTCCGGCTGCACACAACCACTCTCTGGTCTACAGAGCCGTTGCTGACTGATACTCGACGTAGCTCGTCTAACAAGAGCGATGCGTTTGTGTCATTTTCGAAATGAAGTCGGTGTTCTTGCAGTACGGCGCTTTGTACGGCCGCAACTGCTTCATCGAACAACGGTGCGATTAGGCTACGATTTGGTTAGATTCTCTTCAGCCATTGTCGATGATTGCGAGAGACTCACACTGAGTCCGCCATTGTTATGGCAGCGGGTCCTGGTTATGGTGTGAGTTTTTGGATGTTTTCCAATCAAAACGCGGCCTTGTTCTCAAGAGCGGATGCATTGGCACAGATCAGAATACACTTTTTGCGGCGAAGGACGGGGGCATTGTGGAGGCATGGTGCCGAAGAGGGCAGCGGCAATCGGATATACCAAGGCTTGGATTGCCATATGTACGGGCCTAAAAGGAGAGCAAATTACTGCGCTGTATGGAGCCACGGGAGAAGCAACGGGTGTCGTGGGGCTGAAAATGGTGCAAGAAGATAAGCGGAATGCGTAAGAGTATGGCGAGCGGGACGCTGCAGGCGCACTTGTCATGTCTTGGACACCACATAATTAGTAGGCGTGGGGGACCGTGCTCAACAACGTGGGCGAGACGACAGGCCCATGCGACGGCTTGCACACGGCATGCCGGGACTCTTGACCGATGTGCGGGGACTCGAGCTTCACAGATAAGTAACAGCAATTCCCATACGAAGCCTTATTCGACAGCAGACAAGCGAGACAACATGAACGGATAAACATCATGGGTATCACCTCAACAAGCTACATAGCCAACTGCTCGGCCTAGTCAACGGATCTATGGTACAAAGAGTATTAGAAGGCGGGATACTGTGAATGCCACCAAAATTGTGGCTACCTGATTACACGGATGCAGGCATGCCGAGCCGGAGCGCAAGCAATGCTCGCACGTCAGTGACATATTGCAAGCCTTCGAGCAGTGGGATGAGATGCAGCAGGTCGTGATCTGTTGGGTCGCTGATCCAGCCTTCGATGGGGATGGCATTATCTAGTTTTGTCATCAGTAACAGTACAACCTTGCAGGCGTCTGAGCTAGAGGAACCTCTTACCTGGGTGGAAGACGTAGCTCAGAGGGCTGTTGTCAAGTATCATAACCTTGCTCAGATCTGGTTCGACCTGGGCAAGGTCCTTGATGTAAGCCCCGTTGCGAACAGTGCAGTGCTGCCGGTAGTATCGTCCTGCAAAGTACTTGCGCTCCACCTCCAGCCAATCAATAACGGGATCAGCATACTCCTGGACAGATGCGGTAAATATAATCAGGTTGTACCATTTGCTGACCTGATTCACATGTCAGTTACGCGCTAGCAAGACCCGGCTAAACTCCCTACCTTTTTCAAGAAGTCGTCGCAGTACGGTCGCTTGTGGACGTAGTACAAGAGCGGCACCTGGGGACCAATAACCTGTCCGTCCGCGCCGATAGATGCTTGCAGTTTTACTTCTACCATGTGACCAGTCTGGAAGCGGCCCCCGTTAACTATACTGTGAATCAGAGTTTCATCAAGATCAATGATGAGTGTTTTTTGGTGTGGACCGACGGCCGAAGTGCCTTTGGCGGAGTAGGATGGCTGACGCCGTGGCACCAAGGGGCGCGGGGGCTGAGGTGCTCGTGGGAATTTAGTCAATTGTTTGGACGATGCGGTTGCCGGGCCGGTGGGCGACTTGAGTGAAGCGGCGGCCTCGGACGATGTGTAGTTGCTTTTAGAGGATTGTGCCTTTTTTGCAGCCTTTCGTTGTCTCAACACGTCCTCGTTGTGGTGTAGTGTAATGCGGATCGACCGTTTTGCGGGAGCGATTTCGTCTGCGCGCGATAATGCACTAGATTTGGAGCGCGTGTGTTGCGAATGGCTGTCCCAGTCTCCGCCGTGCGAAGCGGGTTTTTCGGTCTCCGAGTCGGAGGTCATGGCGGTGGACGTGGATGCGATAGATAGGGAGCGCCGCGAGGGTTGTATGGTCATGGGCTGGGCAATGCTCGAGCTGCGACCTTTGCGCATGGCCTTCTCGTTGCTGTCGGTAGCGGCCGAGGCTCGCGCTGCGTGTGCGTCTACTCTCTTCCGGCGTCGGCGTGTAAAGGTGCGCGAAACGTGATACACAGGGGCTAAAAAAGAAAAGTGGCCGTCCTCGTAGTAGAAGCAGGCAATCAAGTAGTGGCCGGTATAGACAAAGGGGGTCGCCAGCACGCCCACGATGGCGGTGAGGCCATCGGATAGCAGCTGCGGGTAGAGCCACCGTCTTCGCCGCGTTGTGTCGTCGTATGGTCCCTTCTGGGATTGTTGGAGGAGCGGTGATTTCTCGTTGGATCCGGATGCGACGGCTTCCGTCGTCGAGGAACCGGAGCCGTTACTCCTGTTGGCGCCCATCTTGCGCGTCTCGCTCTATGCAGCTACTGTACTCGCATCGTCAGATCGAGTCGAGGGAGAGGGCTGGGGTGCGCGAATGGCGAGGATTGTGGGGCAGCGTGATGGCCGGGGCTGTTGCTCCTGCTGCTGCTTGCTGCCTATGTCTTTGTTCGCAGACGGTAGTGGCGCTGAGATGGATGAGCAGTGGGGAGATCACACAAAGCCTGCTGGGCCGGCGAGAGAATCTCTATAGTGACGCTATGAAGTCTAGAAATAAGGCCGAGGTGAGGACGGAGAGGCTGCAGACGGTTATGTATGTAAGCAGGAAAGGTTGGGGATGATGCCAATGACGACCGAACAGCTGGAGAAGGGCCGTGACCAATCGGAACACGCATAGCTCAATTTGGCGACGACTCATAACTTGGGTTCACGCAGTCTTGAACAAGCAATATTCCGCTACTGTGCCCCTTACGCGACACAAGCGTCTGCAGCATAGATCGCATGAGCCTTCTGCTTCTAGACTTCTTTTTTTATTTCTCAAAGAAAAAGAACTGCGGCGACACCTGAACAGTCAACCAAGAAACACCCCCACCACCCCCACATACGCGCGCTATTCACTTCGAAATCTTGAACAACACCACCCTTTCAGTGTGCGGAAATTACCAGGATGCAGGGCGCTACCATCCAGGCACCAGGCCTATCCACATTCCTCAAGTCGCTCAAGAGCACGCCAGTAGATGCCTCGGTTGAGCACTTTACTTCGTAGGTTTCTTCGTGGTATACTAGTGCAGAACTATGGCTGATCAATCCACGATAGTCTCCTTAAGCGCCGCCAGATTCGAAACTCGAGACCTTGTGCCATTGCGACGACAGCCTTGCTACTGCGCGTAGTGGGCGAGTTCAAGGGGAGAGACGCTGCTAAACTCATCGAGCGCATCAAGCAAGTCGGCCGGCGGCTGACGTCAGCCCAACCAAGAGAAGTTGTAGTAGGAAATATTGTACGGCGTGTACTTGGGCTGGTACGTGAGGTCGTCGACGAGCATGCGGATGGACAAACACCTACGGGGAGCGACCGAGGCAATGCAACACCACACGCTCACGCCTCGCACGATTCGCTTCACAGGCCAGCACTTCAGTCGAGCATATCCACCTTCAGCCCTCTCAGACATGCCGTAGCAGAGCCCATGCCCACGGGCGGCTTCACAGACAACGCTTCCGACGCCAGCGAACCCTCAAGACGGCCCCCGTTGCTCACCTCGCACACTTCGTACGCACCAGCATCGGCTGCACCTCTGGTACACTCGCTATTCGGTCTCTTCTCCCAACCAGCAGACACGCCCTCGGCCACTAGCACACCGACAGGGCAAGCATCGCCCACTGGCAGGAGCAACCTGACTGCGCTCAATCTCGAGCGACTTGCAGGCATGGAACGAGGTCAGAATCTTGATCTCAAAGGCGAAGTCATGGAAGGCATACGAGAGTTGCAAGACGAGCTGGAAACATCAGACAAGCAAATTGCCGAAGTTGCGCTCGAACACATCCACGCCAACGAGATCATCCTCACCCACACTGCCTCCACAACCGTCCAAAAGTTTCTCTTGTTCGCTGCACGAAAACGAAAGTTTACCGTTGTACACGCCGAGACGTACCCTGACGATCACACTGCTACGCATGGAATCCTGCTTACTGGCAAGAAGCGCGAGGCCAACCCAGATGATGATGAAGACGATGACAAGTGGAAGCCACTTACTGACGCGGGCATCCAAGTCTACGTCATCCCAGATTCGCACGTGTTTGCGATAATGTCGCGTGTCAACAAGGTCATACTTGCTACTCACACAGTTCTGGCCAACGGCGGTCTTGTCGCAGCCGCTGGAGCGCATATGATTGCAAAGGCAGCGAAGGAGCATCAGACACCCGTGGTAGTGCTCAGCGGTGTTTACAAGCTCAGCCCTGTTTACCCTTTCGACATTGACGAGCTCATCGAGTATGGTGATGCTGGTAGCGTAGTACCTTTTGACGACGGCGAGTTCGTAGACAAGGTTGATGTTGAGAATCCGCTATATGACTACGTCCCTGCGGATCTTGTGGATCTCTACATCACCAACCTGTAAGTTATCCCCTAGACTCTATTTGATTGGACCGATAGCTGATTATCACAGTGGTGGACACGCACCTTCATATCTCTACCGCATCGTCGCAGACCACTACCGCTCTGAGGATATCACTCTGTAATTTACAAAAAGTGATGGCTGACGGTATCACCTCGCTGACGAGACATAAAAAGTCTCTTATTAGCCACGGCGCAATTGTTGAAAAGTAAGTAGTACCAACAACCGCAGGCGTGCCCCAGAGTCGGACGGATTAGATACTTTTCCATTATACAAGGAAACCAATTAAGACACGCAGTTCATGCAACAAACACTGTGTCCCATTTACCCTTTCCTACGTGTGCGTCCCGAAGCAGAATAATAGTCTACACGTCTGTCCCGTATACCATCCCTCCTGCACATACCCGATTGGCCAGTCCCCCTTCCCACCTCTTTCTTGCCCTTTTTCTCCTTGCATTACAATACGCCCGCCGGCCATGGCCAACCGCCCACCCATTGGTCACGGTAAGCCCCATCAGCGCGTGCCCTTCGGCCCTGAGCAATCCACACCCTGACACAGAACTTACCTCTTTCGGCAATTCTCGCACAATGGGTGGGTTCGGCACGGCAAGGGAAAAACAAGGGGACGCCTTGGATTTGGGGGAAGGGGACCCTGGCGCAGCCGCAAAGACTTGTGGCGCGCCGCTTCTGTTCTTTTTGCCTTTTGGTTGGTTTTTCGTGGGTGGCCGGGTGGGCGACGGCGAGGGCTCGTGCGGTGGGCGGACGGTGGTTTTATTAGTCCGGGGTTGGGAGTGGACTGGCCTACGGCGAGGGATGTGTGGTGACGTTATGTATGTGACATGGTGATTTTTATTTGGATTGGGGTTAGTGGGAGGGACAGGTCGGAGTTTCTTGGTGTGTTCTAGGAGGGTTTGAGTGAGGGTTGGGGATTAAAGAATTGGTGTTTCCTTTGCGATGAATTACTCCATCGTACATGTTGCCGTTTGACAACGGTGGCCATGGGAGAGGGTAATGTACTATGTACGCCTTCGTTTTTAGCACGCGGTGCCTGCCTGTTATCTGTATTACGCGGGAACACTACTGTATACGTGTTGCAGGTGTGCAGATAAAAGACATGCATCTTTCATGTCTTTCTCTGTTTGGCCGCCTTGCGTATCTGCGGCTCGTTGATAGCGTAGGGCTTATCGCGCAGTTGTACACATGTACATGCCTTGTTTCGTACATTACGTAGGCGAGAAAAGTGGGCGCGCGCTGTCGTGTTGGGCATCTTCCTGCTGATAGATCATCAGCTGGAGTCTCGCCAGGATATCGTTTGCGGTCGATGGAAAAAAGCCACACGTTTCTTTTTCGAGATACACAATGTCGTTTCTCAAGCTCGAGGGGTTGCATGCTTTCTGTACGGGTGCTGCAGGCGGGATTGGGTGTGCAATTGTGGAGGAATTGCTAGGTATGTGACGAGTCGATTACAATGCGCAGAAAATCGGATATTCTGCAGTCTTCTCTACAGAGCATTGATACCGCACTTTACATAACTAATAACAGTAACGTAGTCCAAGGCTGCAAAGTCACGGCGCACGATCTTGTTCCAAACCCTCTCGCCTCAACCAATCCCAACCTCTACTGCATCCAAGGCGACATTAGTTCCGAATCCTCTATCCAAGACTCAATCGCAAAAGCTGTCGATCACTTCTCCCAGCCTATAAGTATACTTTGCGCCAATGCGGGTATCACGGATGAATCTTGCAACTACCCTATTTGGGACATGCCCAGCGACTTGTGGGACCGTACCTATGCCGTCAACGTCCGCGGTACCTTCCTTACCATCAAGCACTTTCTCAAATCCATCCAGAAATACCAAAATGAGACTGGCAATGAGATTGACAACCTGAGTATTGTAGTTACGGGGTCCGAATGTGGAGTTTTTGGCCAGGCGGGACACGTCGAATATGCGAGCGGGAAAGCGGGGTTGCAGTACGGCCTTGTGAAGACAGTCAAGAATGAGATTGTGAGATTAAATGCAAAAGCGAGGATCAATGCTGTAGCGCCAGGTTGGGTGGATACCAAGTTGATTGGGGGAAGACTGGATGATCCCAAGGAGATGTGGAGGGAGGCTCAAGCTACGTATGTACCGAAGCCTTCTGTCCCATTCGAAGGGGCTTGTAACCGTATACTGATTTATTTAGTGTTCCATTGCGAAAGATTGCACAACCAACGGATGTTGCGAGAGCAGTGGCTTTCCTAGCTAGCCACCGTGCAGCAGGCCATATCTCGGGTCAGTGCATTTCTGTGGACGGCGGCATGGAAGGGCGCATCGTGTGGTCGGAAGACGAAATTTGCAAGTCGCAAAACACTGCTGCCGAGCCTGAAATACCACCTGCAAATGCCCTCGAAGAGACCTTTGGCACTGCTACTCAAGGTGTTTCTCTAACTAGCAGAGATGCCTCGGCCATGGCTGCTCCGATGGCTTCGCCCTTGAGCGCTCCTCATCACAGTTCCAAGCCAAAGATCAAGGTTCTGCTCTCAGTCGACTTTGATGCTGTATCCGGCTGGCTAGGAACCGGCCAAAATCCATCAAACAACCTTGCAGACTACAGTTCAGGCTTCTTCAGCGCCTACGTCGGCGTCCCGCGTCTACTGCGACTCTTTGCAAAACACTGCATAGCAAACAAGACAACATGGTTCGTACCCATGCACAGCGCAGAAAGCTTTCCTACGGAATTTTCATCCATCAAAGAAAGCGGCGCAGAAATCGGATTACATGGTTACTGTCATGAGGGCGCACCTCAACTCACACCAAACCAAGAACGCGATGTCCTCGAACACTGCATAAGCCTATATCAAGAACTCCTCGGCAAGCGGCCGCTGGGCTACCGCGCACCACTCTATCAGCTGCGCGAAAGCACAATCGAGTTGCTGGAAGAATACGGATTCCTCTACGATTCCAGCCTCTCTCACTACGACAGCAAGCCATACTACATCCCCAAGCTACCCCCAATCCAAGTACCTAGATACACTGATACTGCGTCAGCAAGAGACTGGATGAAGCCGCTGCCCAGTCCCGGCGCGCCAACATGCAGATCGCTTGTCGAGATTCCGGCGAATTGGTATGCCGAGGATATGACGCCCCTGCAGTTTTTCCCCAATACGCACAACTCACAGGGCTATGTTGATGTTCGTGTCATTGAAAATATGTGGAGGGATAAGTTTGAGTGGATTAGGAGTGAGGCTGAGGAAGGGCTAAGACGGGGTGATGATGTGGTTTTCCCGCTAGTGCTACATCCCGACACGAGTGGTATGGCGCATGTTGTTGGCATGGTAGAGAGGGTAGTCAAGTGGTTGAAGGAGTTGGAGGGTGAGGGGGTGGTGGAGTGGTGTACGTATGCTGAGGTTGCGGGGGAATGGAAGGAGAAGAATGCTGTGTGAAGTGTTGAGATGATAGCTTTTGTGGCATAAGCTATTGTAGTAGTATCTTTGTTTTCAACTTCAGTGGCAGTATAAATATTTTATATTTGCTGCGTTGGAAGCCACAACATGTTCTAAAGTCGCGCTCGTATTGGTACCGTGTTCTTCGAGGTATGGTACTTATGATTGAGTTATGCTGTGTGTGATTATAAGCAACTTCATTGTCTACGTATCATTATTCCTGCCGCTACATCAGTTAATTTCATATGCATATGCATTTATTCTGCTCCATCAGTATCATTTTGCCTTTTCTTCTTCTTTATCGAACAATAAAAACAACAGCGATGCATTGCTACCCTAATAAGGGAGCACGCCTTTGGGATTCGAGGCGTGTCAGCTCATTGTACGTCCCTCGTTGGATTAATATCTGGTGAAATCCCTGTTGTATCATGACTTCACATACCCTTAGTGGCCTCATATTGCTTTGCTAACCTTTCACGGAAGATGCTGACTACCCCTCTTTACTAATGCAATTTTTCCATCACTCCCGTTAGCGTTTAGCCAGTTCTGTCAACACCTATATCCCCTTAATCATGGCATTAGCACGTGGTGTTCAATAACCTTAAATTGTAATTTCCTATCAAGACCGTCCTTTTACTATCACTTTTGGATGTTTTTTTCCACCAACTAATTGCAAATTTAAAATTTCATGTGTTACTCTCTTCTCCTCCAGTTGAGTTCGTTGTGTTGTATAACTGAAAGTCAGCGACAAGAATATCCAAGGCCTCTGACATTGGTTCCATGTGCCCGGGCCACCTTAACCGTCTTACATGTCACTTAGCATACTTATCCAGTCAGATGCGAGAGGAGGTCAACGTGTCTCTGTACCTTACCGCGCGAGGACCGATGCCATCTCACGGAACCAGGTACTACGGCAGCACTGACATAAGCTTTGTGCAAGCTACGCCATGACGCGGGCGGCAAGGATTTCGTCATTTGCACTGACAACTCTGGAAGTGTTCCGCACTGCTGCAACAAAGAATGTTGTTCTCAGCATGCTCTTCAAAGACAAAATCCCTGGCGCCTCACTGGCAAAGAAGACTGTTAATCATAACGGAATCTTGCGCGAGAAGACTGAGATCAGCACTACACTAAACAAAAGTGACAGCAACTTGAAAACGGTTGGCAGATGATGACTGAACAATCACGTCGACTGGTTAGCAAGCCGAGCACGTACCGATCGAGCCTAAAGCTCTACTCAGCTGCACCAGGATGCTGCCCCTGCCCCTGAGTATATGATGGTAAAGATGCCGCGACGATACCTCTGCCTACAGGAGATCGCTCGCATTCCCCACCCCCGCATCATCCAAAATTGGCTTTGCCGAAAATCAACTTGGGGTTCCGCAACCGCACTGTACACACAATGTCAACGAGATAATTTCTCAAGAAATTGACGATGTATTGAAGGCTCGAGCTCTAGAGTCTCCCATACGCTGCATGTTGCGCTTTCACTGTGACTCAGCCCACTCATCACTTAAGGTACACGAGAAACAGATCTGTGCAGCTTACATACTGTTCCCGCGTACCACGAAGTAAATACCCAGGCCAGCACTGAGTAAGACAGGGGTAGGCATATCAAACAGATTAACACCAGAGAAGCTTAGCTTGGATCTCAGAGTTCACTACCAACATACCCATCAGATATTACCAGGGCTCCTTGTGGAAGACGGTGAGGTTAGATTCTAGCAAACAAATGGTTGAGCGATGTTGAGCGTACCTAGCGGTTTGGTTAATCTCGCAACAACTCTGCGGACTTCACAAATTCGCACTGCGCTTGGAAAAAAGTCAAGAAGCTGCGGTAGGAGTGATACCACTGTCTTGCAGCTCTATATGTAATTAGTGGTATAATCAATTGCCTTTATTTTCGCCTTTAGATTTTTCCCTGCTCTTAGAAAATTGTGTTTCAGGATCAAGTAGGTGTATATGATCGCGTGAAAGGGATAAGATAGGGCCGAAAGGTACATTTTCAAGGCCAGATAATAGTCGTCCGCAGTAAGCCCGTTAAAATTCATATAAGATTCTATTGAGAGTAATAATCAAGGGCCGTATTTGCTGATATTCTATTTATAAGTGAGAATAAAGTTCTGTTCGTGGGGATTCACGTTCTGCTATACGGACATACAATTCGACAACACCTATATACACGTGCAAGGCAGATGGTCCACGGAGGCCTGAAAACAACATCGTTTCCTCAGACATGGCCGTTCTATACATTTGGTGAAATAACTTGAGAACCCCCCACTATGAGATATTCCTGCAGCTGGTCTGTTGATCCCAGTAGATACCACACACGTGCTGTGAGGAGTGTACACAAGTGGATTGTTGATTGAGCAGGTGATATACGCGTGGAGGAAAGGAGCCAGCTACTCGTTGGATCGCATACACCCTGGGAGAGAATGGCACGGTTTGATACAACGTAGTTAGGATTACGGGATGTGCGAGTGGATGTGCGAAGCACGCAACCTCAGTTGCAAGGTTTGCAATTCAACGTAGGATGAAAAGGTATATAAGGGAGTGGGTCACTGCATCAATAACAGCACCACTCACATTAAAACATCCGTTCCAAACATCAGCATACACTCCATCAATCAAGCCAGCCATGCGTGTCCTCATCGCAGCCATCGCTCTCTTGAGCATCTTCTCTGACCCTACCTCTGCCCATCCTTCTCTCTTTGACCCCCGAGCCCAAACGAAGAACATCCGGGTTCCCATCAACCAACTCCTCCAGAACTCCAAAGTTGAAAAGTCGGGCAAGGGTACCCAGGGCCCTCTCAAATTCACGGGGACCCTCTCTCCAAAGCTCAAAGCTCTCTACAAAAACATCGCCCCCAAGCCTGATCCCCTTAAAGAATCCGACGGCCGGATATACTGCTGCTTGCTCCGATGGCGGCAAGTATCCTTGCTATTACGTGTTCACTCCACGCATCGGTGTGATTAAGGGTTGGGGATATGTAAGTTCTTGAGTCACCCAGTTGGGTGGATGAATCTAGTCTTCTTTCTTCTATCTCTCTTGCTGTCTTTACTAATGCTTCTTATCTGTACCGGTAGGTTGAAAATTTGGGCACGAATGGTTTTATCTGTTCCAAAGGGCCCAGGTCGTTCATCGAAATTCACGTACCGGTTGTGCCATCTGACACTTGCAAGAGAGGAGACAGGAATCCATGCGGACCTTCTGGTAAGATCCTTCTTCTTCTACAGCCTTGAAAAAATAATTTGGTTGTTTCGGAGACTAATAGTACATGTTGATAGGTGTCTGCGACCATTGCTTTGCGACGGGACTGCAGGCGGCTACTCTGTGTCCTCGCAGCGGTGTGAACTTGAAGCATCCACCCTCGCGATTCTGCCCCGCTGGTATCACCGGCCAGCCATGATGGTAGTGGCCATTCTACGCCGACTTTCCTGGGTCTATAAAGGCATACTATATGCGTGTATGCCGATTTTGAGATCCAAGACCATACAGATTAGCTTCCGTCAACAAATCTTAAGAGGAAGTCGGCTATACCGTGATGAAGTGCAAGGTTTAGTTCTGGTGAAGTGGGGATTGTACTTTGGGAATAGATGCCAGCGCACTCAATTAGTTATTATGTGCGCGTGGCCTCCCTTAAGGAGACATTAAATTTACCTACGCACACTTGATAAGCATGTCTGGCAACTGTAATATAAACGAGTCGGCTTTCTTCACTATGTTCGAATCATAAACTATTCTCTAGTCAGCATACGCGGGGTTGCGAACTGCGACTCCATGCTGACTTTCCAGAGGGGTCAACTCTACGATTGGAATTAAGGTTCTGAGCTAGTGCGTGAATTGTGTTTTTAGTACACTGTAAACAGTAGCTGTACATCACGTTGCGAACGATTGTGGTATTGCGCATCAGCTGACGTAATTCGTAGTGCTAGTTATGGAATTAAAGCCTAGATAGCTCGAACCTACGATACGTCGAGCCTACGAGCAGAAACTTACAGAGCATTGCTAGTTCTTCCTCCAAATAAACACCATATTGCTAGAGCCCGGGACCCTAAGCCATGAAGAGATTTTAGATTTGTTCACCTCTAGATTATGCTTGTGCTGCCTTGCTAATATATACTAATAGTTTAAATGTTTCTTTGCCTCTATCGTTACTATAAGCAGTATCTGGACGTGTAGATAAGTCTCAAGCCTTGTAAATCGCTTCGGGGTCTCCAATAATCCAGTCACGACTAGAATTAGGTTAAATGCCCTCCCATATTATAGGCGTAGCGAACATAAACACAAACTAAATAAGACAACTCCAAGTATATACACAACTACAGTAGTAACTATCTAAGTAGCTCTTTACATCACGGATGTCCGCACTCGGTGGGTATTAATAGGCCCGTGCATATAACAGCTACTTAGCTACCAGTGGTCTCCAGTAATCGTAGAGGCGTATAAAGAAACTCGATACCCTGTTGTGCGGCGTCCACAATCCTGCAAATACGCATGCAACAAGATAAAAGCTCCCTCATATACAGGAGCCGTGCTATGGCTATGTAGTTTCCTTCATACTAAGGGCCTGTTCGGTTGCGCGTTTTGCGGTTGTGTTTTTGATACCTCTTCGGGTCCCCCAGTGGGCAAAATGAACGATATGTTGTCGTCTGTAAGGAGGGCGAAGATCTCCTTGGAGTAAGCATAGGTATAGACTTAGTCTTTTGAAGAGCGAAACGGTTAGCCAATAGCACCCGCAATTTAGAATGTTCTCATATGCTAATATGTACTTATATGACATGACTATGAAAACATTGTAACTCCGAATTTGAGAATGGAGGGTTCGAATAGGCCCCGAACGAGCGAGAGCATCGATGCACTTTGTCAAAAGCATGGACAAGATGCGACAACCCAAAGGATCCAGAGTGAGCTTCTCAGCAGGCTCAAAAGGAAGATATGAAGCTCTAGAGGAGACAGGGAAACTAGGAATCTGTCCAGCCTAGCGGCAAAGAAGGGATGAAATTGGTGAAGCGTGTAAGTGACTTCGCACCAATCCCATGCCCAGATGGATGCGACTCACAAAATCCATATGGAAATAAAAATACGCTAGTGGCCCATACCAGCAACTTTCACGAGTTCAGGGCGACCAGTTTCCCTCAAAATCTAGTGTGTTCGTCCGAGGTAGCCTTGGATAGTCGGCCAAGCATCGTGAGTCATCGACACAACGTGCACCAACTCTCTGGGGAAGTATTGTCTTGCTAGAACAAAACGGTGTTTCGAGCTGTCGTAGTGGCTTCAAATAAGCGTCGCGGTACATTTAGGAAATAATAGTGACTCACCAAAAAGTAGGTTGGTTCCAAATTCCACGTGTAGCTTGAAGATGCATGCTGTAGTGTTAGGAGATTGCTAGAAAAGAGGTAGTCAGTATTCACATACTGGACAAGGCTATAGCGGGCCATCTTCTTTTGTGGCGGTGTGGTGGCTTTCTAGAAACAGCGGGGAAAGTGAGGGGCAAACTAGCTGAACAGGCAGCAAAGCTGAACAGGCAGCCATGCTTAGTGACTATTTCGACATTTATACTTCCCCTCTCCTTCTCTTCACTTCCCTTCCCATCTACCCCAACTACTCACGGCTAACCTTCTTCCTTTAAGCCGATATCGAAGGGCTACGTGCATATTTGACCTACTATTCGCAGTCATGGTAAAAGACACCGGAACTGTCTACTTCAACAAGAACAGTGCGGAGTACGGCTTCATGAGCAACATGCATATCGCGCCATTCACCGTTGAGGAAGTCGAGTATAAGTCTACGGAGCACTACTTCCAGGCTGCGAAGGCGCGCCACTTCAAGGACCTTGTATATAGAAATTCCGTACTCGCTGGTGACCTTTTATGTATTGACTACGAATAGGATCTTCTGCGCGAGATTCTCGATTGCGATGACCCAGTCAAAGCCAAGTCCTTTGGAAGACGAGTGCATCCTTTCGATCTCAACGAGTGGGATGAGCGTAAGTTGTAGTATCCCAAGAACTATATTTAGTGCTTATATCGTGGAGTCAAGGAAGTGGTTATGAAGGAAGGCAATATGCATAAATATGCCAAAAACCCTACTCTTCAGGAGAAGCTCCTTGCCACAGGCGACCTTCATCTAGCTGAGTGCAATCCTAGAGATCGTTTTTGGGGAATTGGTGTTGGCAAGGCCAAGGCAGAGGCTGCTGGCAAGTACCCTGGCAAAAACGTTATGGGGTTTATTTTGGAGGATATCCGGAAACACTTCCGGGATGAAGCTAAGCAAAAATAATTTAGCAAGCAGATCATTCGGGTTTGGTTCTTTCATGCCCCTGCTTAAGGACAGGTATTTACTCGTGGGAGGAACTTAGTCTTCCCTGTACAATGACTGGTGGGTCTGGTAGAAGTGAGGAGCAAGTGGTTCTGAAGTGGTAGCAGATGATGAATAATTGTAGCTTCTAAGTATTTTATCGCAAAGAATCATTCCAATAGCCGACCGTCGCTGTTGTTTTGCTTGCAGTGATGCTCCGTACCATGACCGCCATACAGACATCGGGGAACAGCCGTATTTCACTAAGTCGACCGGACATTCATGGTTCATTCATGGGCTATTTCTTAGTATCAAGGTAGAAGTGGAGAAGGTTTGTAATTTGATCATCTATGCGGAGCACGAGCGTGAAGTTCTTGCGCGATCGGTCTCATAGTTTTGAAAATACTCCGCGTAGGTTCTTGTTATATTGTCTTGATTTATCATACTACCTCACAGCGTAAAAACTCACTCTTCTCTATGGAAAAGACTGTCGTTTCACTTCGTGAATTAGCAATGCTGAAAGAGCCTCTATTTCCTCTCCACCAAACATGCACTTGATTAGTGCATCCCTCATTTCACAATCACACGCACTCCCTTGCTGCTCTTCTTAGGAAGAGGCACAAAGAAACTGCCCGCCATGTCCACATCACTCCTATCTGTCTCATACAGCTCCAAATCTACCAACCTAAATAACCCTGAAAGACCTAGATACATCTCTGCCAGCGAAAAGTTCATGCCCAGACACATACGCGGGCCCTTGCCGAAGGTGGTCAAATACTTGCTTAGCGGATGTCCAGTGGACGTCATGGGATTATCTATCCAACGCTCTGGGATGAATTTATCCGGATTGGGGAATAGTTTTGGATCCGTGACCTGTAGGTAATTTGACATGCTGAATTCTGTGCCAGGAGGTATGACGTATTTACCATACTGGATGACACCTGTTGGATTTGTACGTTGAATTCGATTACTTAACCCATACGAGATACGTAGAGCTGTGGAGGTTAGCTTGAAGTGTTTGAATGTCCATGAATAGCTTACATTCTTGCACAACCGCGTTTAGGTACGGTAACTTTTCAAGTTCGGTGAGAGGCAGCAGTTCATCGGGGTTAGGCATAGCTTTCTCAAGCTCCTCTCTCAAGCGCGCTTTAACGCCTGGCGTTTGTAGAATCCAAAAGCTTCCGACGGTGAGTGCCGTCTTTGTCGTGTCGATACCTGCACCCACAAAACTCTGCCCTTCCTGCTCCATCACTTCCTGGGTAATTTCACTCCTGTTCATGCTGGATTTGAGTAGCTCGTGGAAGACAGTGCGATGTTTGACATGCTTGTCTGCATCGTTTTCGCCAGCCACTATTCGTCGGATCTGGCCTCTCACTTCCTGTATTTGTTCAGCGGCGTGTATATCGTTAGAGATGAGCAACTTACATGACGAAATTCAAACACCGGTTTCATCTTGGGGTCTACCATAACAAGGAACCATTCCGGCAAGCTCTGGAGCAACTTTGCTATGGTGGGAAAACATGTTGCAAACGGAAATGAGTATAGGAAATTGTGGATAGCCGTTGTAAATGGCGACTTGAACTCGGGAAAATCCAAGAAATCGTAGGATAAACCACAGATGTACCAGATGAGCACATCAGCCACATAGGCACCCCAAGCTTCATTTAGACATACTACCTTTCCAGTCCCCTTGTACTGTGTCTCGAGAATATTGCACATCTTCTTGATTCGAGAGCTGGTGTAAGGGCTGAAGTCTATGATCTTCTGCCTAGTAAAGAAAGGAGCAACAGCTGCTCTGCGGCGGCGGTGATAATCGTGATCGATTGCGTCGCTTAAGGCTTGTGGGTGTGCAAGACGATGTTGTAATTGCGGTAGTTTGTGGTACTTCGTCTTGGTGTTGAAAAGCTCATTGTAGAACTCTGCATCGCGAATGTGTACTTCCGTTGGTGTAACACGAATGATTGGGCCTTCCAACTGAGCATCAATATGGGAATTGTTAAACTCACTCGTGGTACAACTTACCATATTTCTCATGCCATTCTTCAATCTTGAATATAAATTTTCCGCCCTTTACCACCTCCCAATATGCCTCCACCCAAAAGGTAATTGCAGCAAACCTGGGACCCGGTATGTTTGCAATGGGGCTGAAGAAGAGACGATATACAACTAAACCAACGAAATAAACGAACAAGCACAACAGGGCGAGTAGGATTGTGGTCTGGTTGAGAATCGACAGTAAAGCCATGACGAGTAGGATAATTGCCGATAAAGAAGGGCAGCTGTTACTGTTTTATATTAGAGCACTCGTGACTCGGCTGGACCTACTCACGGATGTCAGCAACCTCGTTAGAAAGACCAGATACCATATGCCGTAGGTTGCGGTCCGATATAGTTTCATACACGAAGAACAAACTACCTTGTCTATAATCTCTCAACAATTGGTGCATGTCAGCCCAATCAGTCCCACCCAAATAAGACTAAAAAATGGCTCAAATCTGTTAGAAATACCACTGATCGGCCATGCCCCGACATGCCGGAGATAGGGATTTCCACCGATTTGATCTTGCACAGCTCTCGCCTTCATATTCATCTATTATAGAATAACGTACAAGTGTTATTATCTATTGTTTATGGTCGCGGATTATGCAAGCCCTATTCAGATGTATCTATTGCGTCTATGTTTCATAGCTCTTACGAAGGCTTGACTTAAAATGCGACATGTGTGCTTTCCAAAGCATAGGAGACCGTCATGTCGGCCATAACTAGTAACCAGACATCCGATATCCGAAGGCCGATGGCCGAGGCGCAGAAGTTATCTCCGATATGCAGAACTCCGCGTAAACTTGCCATAGCGAGAAAATATTTGCATATCATTAGACCAATTCTAAATATTTTTCGAGGTCAAGAATGCTCAACGCTCGCCTGGTGGACAAAACAAGTGATACTCTCCTGCACCGGCCGCCACCTAACCAAGATCGATGGTGATACGCCAGAAAGTTCGTGCAGCGCGCACCGCATCAACCGCCACAGCCGCAGCTGATGAGTATGTCTTGGCCAATGACGATCTAGATGTCTCTGAAAGCAAATGTGAGCCCTCTCTCTCCACCTGCGCACCATACAATCTCGCTACAAGCAGTTTCAAATCTTGAATATCAACCGACCATCAGTGTCAACCTTGTCGACGTTGGCGCTAGTAGGGTGCGCAGCGTGCTCCTTGCGCGTAGTTCTTACATAGTCTGACCGAGTCGCTCCGCTGACGTCTCCACAGATTCCCGACACCCGAGAATACCAAGACCGTTATGTAACACCGCTCCACGGTTCCCTCAAATCGTGAAAGGAGCTTGTCGTCTGTACTGTATGCGATGGCCAATAAGCACACTAGGTAGCATGGAGCAATTAAGGGCATCCAAGCTGACAAAAATCTACCAGTGGAAGCGCGGACGTTGTTTATCATGTTGGACAATATCTCCATGTTCATCTAGAGTAATATTTTACAGATCCAAAGGTATGTAGTAGGGCAAGAATGTAAAAGAAAATTGTTGATAGGCTAACACAAAGATAGAGAAAATTGAAGAGGACAAATAGTTGCGCAGCTCTAGTAGTAGTCCTTGAAATAGAGAGCAAGGGGCGTATCAGTTTCCATAGTAGTAGGAGAGACTTCAATATCTCAACCGATGGAAGGGGTTCGAGGAGAAGATGATGACTGAACATCGCTAATTTGGAGGATTTGATGCATGACCTCTAGGTCTGAAACGCCTTACCGCGAGGTGTTCAGCCTCCAATGGCATAACGCTAGCGACTTCTCGATGATGAAATCCCCGACGACCGGATGAAAAGGTTTGAAGCAGCATTGGTTATCATAGCATGACCAATTCATGTAGCATAGGTCTACATATCACTACAGTCTGTACTTTCATTTTTCGTAGTATGACACTACTAGGATACAGGTAGGAATACGAGACATAAAATGGCAACGAGCTTATAAAACGGTTTTATAAGCGCGTAGTAGTCATGAATGCCTGCATAAGCAGGTTGTCTGTTCGGCTGTCTTGTATCTCTAGTATATGCACAGTATGATCAGTATTGAAATGACTAGTATTTTTAGAACAACCAGGCAACAAACACATTGCTGGCGATAGTCTTGTTATCTTGCATTTTTTTTCTCTCTTGGAAAATCAGATTTGCTATTATGCAATCGAAACATGAACCTAAGGAGATCTAGAGCAGGGGAAGCAAATTCCGAAAACAAGACGTTATTCAACGACTAAATCATTACTTGCCTGGTGAGTGAAGAAAAACGAACCAATTCAAAATGAAGCTTTTCTGAGTTGCACACAGAGTGCAGGTGGCGATATTTATCCCGCTAGATGCGTTGTGGAATTCGTGAGAGATACATCGCCCTGAACAGAGAAGCTGCCAGCGGTGGCCAGATTCTTGCTGCTCTTGGCAGCTGCATGCTTGGAATCGTTGGAGACTTGGGTAATTCCGCCTCTGGTTGCCCACTCAGTGTAAGTTACGAATTTTATGTCTCTAGATGACGCGAAACTAATTATCAAGAATATTAGTAAACCAAACGAGACGCTGGTCTGTCTTTCAAAAGCATGACTGGATGTTTTAAAAGATAGGCAGATTCCAGAGTAAAGCTAAATGAACAATCCAGCCTTACGATGAACACGGAAAGCATTTCAGCAACGGAGGAAAGGTTGAAAACCAGATGGAACCAAGGCGGAGACGGAAACTGTATACGAGAGCATTTCTTTTGTAATTGAGTAATTCAGTAATAATAAAAAAGGAGTTTTGGCTTTCTGATCACTCTCTCTTTACTACTGATCTGCCCTTCCTATGTATTCTTTTCTGGCGTGACCCTGATATCCATCTTCTATTCTACTCTACTACTCTGAGACCCTTCTCCCCCCGTATATAATATGCCCTCTCACAGTACGCTGGCCAATTTTCAAATTTAGCCTGGTAGTCTCGTAAACTGTTTGCGATATTCCATTGCATTATTATTTGGCCATCGCGATGCAGGAAAAGATGATGTACATGCTCGACTAAGACGTGGCAATACGAGGCACAGGCCCATTGTCCGATCAGAGCATCAAGCAAGTCTTCTAGGAACCTCACAAGGTATTTCGGACCCAGAAGTATACCGATATGTTCGTTATGGGGAGCAGGTGGACTAAAACGCTTGCATCGACGTTTGCGGAAATTTCTAAATTGATCTTGAGTATCTTGACGACAAAATGCTAGTTGTTCAGGATGTTTTCCTGTTCGTCTAATGGTTTTAGCATCACAGTACAGTAGAGTATCTCATAAAGCTGCCAGTAGACTAAACTTTTGCAACATGGAATTAGTATCGTGGCTCAAAACACATAGCAGGTACATCGGACGCTTACTTAGTTTGGATCCACAGTCAACACTGAGCTATCCAATTCATCTCCCAAACTTGTGATATGTAGTATCGTATCTCTCCATTTTTTGGGAGTTGTAAATTGTAAAAATGCAAAGCTTTACGTTTAATTTTTCGATATTGGTAATTAGCACTGGGATATTAGTCCATCTCACCACCCTGAATACCCGATCTGCAATGATGATGTCGAGATCCTAGTGGAAAGTGCGGAATTGGGTAAGCATCGTGAGAATCTCCGCCCTAAGCAGCTGATTGAGCAGCATCAACGCGGCCAGATCGGTTACGATAGCCCTAGGGTGATAGCTACTAATTGTAGAAAATGGTATGTGATAAAACCTTAGACTAGTTCTTTGAATGATTGATTCAGTGTCTGAGGCTCCTGTCTGGGTGCGAGGAGCACATATCTGTAAATATCACCTCACAGCTCATGGGGAATTTTAAGAAATTTAAACATGTTGGACCCTTATAGCATGCTATCAGAACAAAATAAATAAATCAATTTCAGAAAACTACCTGCTGGGGATGATGATGAAATTATGTAAGTTTGATGATTCAAGTAAGCGAAGGCATTAAGCAACAATAACGTGTTCAGCGACATGAACAGGTAACGTGTTTCACCAGTGTGCGCCCCACCCCAGTGTGCGCCCCACGAAATCCTAGTACCTCACCTTCGCAATAATAACGCGTGATGTCTCAACAACGCCAAACTCCTAAGACCTATACTAAAGCTGACGTTACTATTACTATCTCTGATCTCCAAAAACGCGAAAACTTAAGCCTAAGGCGCGCTGAATTAATCTATAGTGTGCTAAGACGGACGATATAAAGGCGACGTAATGGAAAGCCCTGTCGACGCGACTACGAACCACCAACTAAGCGCCTAACAAAACTAGAAGAGGAGGCCATTACTCAACGTGTAATAGTTGAGGCTGAGCGAGGACTACCCTATGGGAGAGACGACGTGCGAGATATGGCTAATAGACTGCTCCGAGAGCGCGGTGGAGAGGAGGTTGGCAAGAACTGGGTTGATAGGTTTGTCCAGCGCAATCCTGAGCTGCGTACGCGCCGGAGTCGTCCATATGATCGTTAGCGAGCTGCCTGCGAAGATCTAGCGCTTATTAAGGGCTAGTTCGAGCTGGTTCAGAATACGAAGGCGAAGTACGGTATTATGGACGAAGATATCTATAACTTTAATAAGACTAGCTTTATTATAGGCAAGATTTTATCACAGTTAGTTATCACGGGCTTAGATAAACTAGAAAGAACAAAGCAGATCTAGCCAGGTAATCGTGAGTGGGTTACGCTGATATAGGGCGTTGGCGCAATAGGTAAGCGTATCCTAGCGTTTCTCATCTTCGCAGGCAAGGTTCTGATCTCTACCTGGTTCACAGAGGATCTGCCACGCGACTGGGTAATATAAGTTAGTCCTACTGGCTGGACGAACAACGATCTAGCGCTTGACTGGCTTCGTCACTTCGATTCCCATGCGCGGCCTGTAGGGACGCATAGGCTGCTTATTATTGACGGCCATGAGAGCCACTGCTCGGTGGATTTCCGAGATCTCTGCGAAGAGATGAAGATAATCCTCCTCTGTATGCCTCCCCACTCGTCGCACCTCTTACAGCCTCTTGATGTGGGCTGCTTCTCGCCGTTGAAGCGCGCGTATGGTGATGCTATCTCAGTCTTAGCACGCAATCGCATCTATCATATCAGCAAAGAAACCTTCCTACCAGCGTTCAAAACGGCCTATCATAAGGCTATTACACTAGAGAATATCCGCGGAGGGTTTCGAGGTGCTGGGCTTACTCCACACGATTATCACGTTGTTTTATTATAGCTTGACGTCGTGCTGCGTACGCCGACTCCACCAGCGCAAGAGACCACTACCTGGGAGCCGAAAACGCCACGCAACGCGCGCGAAATGGAGGCGCAGGCTACGCTTATTCGAAACCGCATGCAAATCCAGCAAGGGTCTTCTACAACTTCTCTTAAGGAGTAGATGCAGTAGTTAAGTAAGAGAGCTTAGTAGATAGCTTATAATATAGTGCTTATGCACGAGAAACTTAATTATCTTAAAGCTACGATTAGTAAAGTAACAAAGCGAAAAACTCGTAAGAGGCGCTACGTACAGCCGGAGGGGTCCTAGACAGTTAGCCAGATAGCTAATTAGATAGCTAAGGTAGAGGGTGGTAGCTGTAATGAGGGTGTAACGCCCGCGAAGAGGGTACGCAGTGAACGGCGCTGCGGACGTTGCAGCCAAGTTGGACATAATTCTCGCACGTGCCAAGTAGAATTAGAGGATATAGAGGATAGCGACGTATCTGAAGAATAATATCCTGCTCTACTTAATAAAAATATTATGGTGGTGTTGCGTAGTACTATTACGAAGGTGAGGTACTAGGATTTCGTGGGGCGCACACTGGGGTGGGGCGCACACTGGTGAAACACGTTAAACTAAATGTTGCCTGAGAAGGTGCAAAAATGAGTGACTAGCATCTACGCTTGCTTACACTCTGGCATTCAGCTAGCTAGGTACCATCTGTATGCTTTACGCACGTAATTGAATAAATGACTTTAAACTTTTGTATTCCAGGTTAGTGAAAGTGAAAGAAGCTGTATGTGTATCAAAAGTAAGCAACACGGCAAATTTAGCGCTTCTTCAGATAGCGAAAATAGGAACGATCTAAGTATTTTGCGATAAAAATTCGAGTAGCGCCTCCCTCTATCCCTAGTTTTCTTTGGTATAGTATTCTCGCAAGCGTTCCATAATGTGTTGTTTCAATATACATTAGACCAACGGTAAGGACTGCTGGGACCTAGCCTGCCAAGACTTCCTTGATCATTGCATCGGCTATCTTTCCTGCAACTGCATATACACTTGCGCTCAGATGGCCAGATATCTGCGTAGGAAAGGCGCTGGCATCCACCACTCTCACGTTTCGCGTACCATACACCTTGCCCTTGGAATCAACCACTCCACCCAGGTCCTGGCTCATCATTGCGCAAGTACTCGCAGGATGCGAGTTGCCGTTAACAGTCTTCTTGATCCAGGCGTTCCAACTTTGGTCTCTCCATCCCGCACCTTGCGGTACAGTCTCGAAACCGGGCGAGATTTCGCTGACGATGTGATCGGCGAACGGAGTAGTTGCGAAATATTCACGAACACGAACCGCGGCTGCTGCCTGGACATATGCATCAATAGGTAGCTGAAAAAATGCAGGATCGATTCGAGGGGGGCGCGTTGGGTCGGTAGCATTGATATGAATGGTGCCTCGAGAGAGGGGCAATAGATTCCAGAGTTGGGCGGCTATGTTGTTGCCTATTGGAGCCCATAAAAGCTCAGCTAGTGGGACCTTGCTATCAGACTTAAAGATCAAATCGACTTGATGCTTCAGGAGTAGCTCCTGCTTCTCGACTAAAATCGTATATGATGCATAGTCGGCAACAATGGCGGCTGCATATGCGCTCAGATTGGCTCTGATCTCTTGAGTAATTGAATCTAATTCGTCTCCAAAGAGATCAGACGCTGTCAGGTAGGTCACAAAAGTAGGATATCCGGTCCAGTTGGTGGATGAAGAGTAGATGATGCCGTTCTGCGGCTGGTCTGGCAGGTTTGAGCCAACGGAGCGTAGCGGGACAACTGTTTCGATGCCGAGGGGCTCAAGAATAGCAGGATTACCCACACCAGAGTGTTCAAGGAATGCCGGTGATCTGATAGCACCAGCTGCTACAATAACTTCCTTCCCAGCACGGATACTTTTGGTAACACTGGCTGCAGTGATGAACTCGACACCAGATGCAAGCATTCCATCCGCAGTCTTACCATGTTCCCAGATAATCTTCTTTGCCGTGGAGTTGAGAAAGATGTGTAGGTTTGGTCGAGATGCGATAGGATAGTAAAAGGCCCTTGCTCCATCCTCACGTGTTGGCCCAGCCTCGCTTAACGTCATGGGCCAGGTGTTGAAGCCACGCATGACGCCTTTGTTCGCATCTTGGTTGTAAGGAAACCCAATCGTCTCAGATGTCTCTTTCATCAACTGAGCAAAACCTTGGCCGACAAGATACGGGGTAAACCCCACAGCAATATCACCGCCATTTCTGTGTGCGCCAGCCTCATACACTGCTCCCTTTTGCTTGAGTTGGTCGGTAGGCTGCTGAAAGTGCTCTTGTGTGAGAAAATACTCCCACATACTATCCCAGTTCCATTCTTGATTTCCCAAGTCTTGCCAAGCGTCGATCTGATCTTTCTCTGCACGTAGATACGTCATGCCGTTAATGGCCGTACTTCCGCCCAACGCCTTTCCCGCCCAGTAGGGAAGGGTGTTGTTGGCAGCATATCTTTGAGGTACAGTCATGTAGCCCCAGTCAGTAGAAGTTCCAACAAAAAGTCCGTATTCGGCGATAGACTTTGGAACATATGTCACATTGGGATTGTCATATACGGAATCGCCAGCTTCAATTACCGCAACAGTAGTGTTTGGATTTGCCGACAGGCGATTCGCGACCACAAGCCCTGCTGCACCTCCGCCAATAATGACATAGTCGAAAGAATCAGGCCCACACGCGGCAGAGACAAGCCGGACCAGGCTGAGGAAGAAGAGCTGGCGTAACATAATGAATAGAGAGGGTCTGATGGTTGTGCCTGGCGCAGAATCTTACTCCTTATACCGGAAGCATGTGGGGTTTACCGAGGAAGAGGGTCTTTCAATGCCTCTACTTGCAGCGTCATAGTGGTAGCGTCGTAGTGCTGGACTAGCCATTGGCTAGTTGCGTCATTGCTAAGCTTGGCAATGTAAGTGGTGGCCTAATTGTCTCAACTCCTGCTCAAGCAGAATGATGTACGAAGCATGCAGCAATTACGGGTACCAGTAGTAGTGGTGGATTAGAAGCGGCAACAAAATCTTCCAGGGCCATCATGATCTCTGATACTATGCTGGAAAGCGCGACTTAACGCGCGTATAGTGTTGGATGTTCATATACTCAGTGTAGAGTATGATGCTGCCGTATAAAATCTAACGCTATGCCTATAACAGCAGGTCAACCTGCGACTAGCAATGACGCATGCTGGTGGCTTTCTTGAAGGATACATAGTCAAACGCTCTGCATGAGCAAAAGTATACAAGCCGCGTCTACCCCTCCCTAAGCCCGTTCAAACATCTTTGTAGAAGCAAGAACATTGCGCAGAACATCAACGCCAGCCTACAATACTCAAGGCGTTTTTACGCGGATTCAGTCCATGGTCATTTTGTTGACTACCATTTCTTTCTGATCGAGGCATCGGTTAGCGTCATCTCTCCATCCCTTTTCAAGGAGATAATCCTTCGTGTTGCTTAACATTACACACAGATTTTATAATTACACTGCGTAAACGAGAAGTGTGCGCAACTCCTTAATTCGCTTAGCACACACTTCACTGTCAAAGGAATAACTAGCTATCGCGAAAACTAGGGGGGCTAACCTGCGCAAAGCCTTTAGTTATATCATAACATCCTACATGTTTGTCGCATTACTCAACTCTTAGATACGCAACATCGCATGAAGAAAGGCCTAGTGCGTACTGTTTACATATTGATCATTATGCAACGATGAGCACCTATATACCTAAAACAATAACTCCCTATTGCTACAAAGTTGCTAGACAATCTCAGATTTGAGAGAAAAATCCGTTCTTCGCCATTCTCAACTTCACTCAGCACTATGATACCTCAGCGTAGTCCTGCTCCAAACCTCATTCCCACTCATCTGGTGCTCCAGCCCCTTGACATACTGCCTCGTAGCCGCATTGCACTCCCCGGATTCTGCCAGCTGGCTTCTGGTTCACCCCTAGGAAACCAGAAAGCGTGGATCTCGACTAACGACACCCTCGTCGCCTTCCTCTGGACATGCATCATGAAAGCGCGCTTTCCCTCCGGCCCAACCGCGGGTTGGGAAACCACTTCGCACGTCTCCATCGCCATCAACAGGAGCAAGGGACTAACCGTGCCTCCAGAGTACGCGGGCAACATAGTTTTCTGCGGCATGACCGGACTCTCCATCTCCGACCTTATCGCACGCGAAAGCGGCGACGACGATAGACCACTGGCGGCCGTGGCGCAGAGCACCCACAAAAACATGGAGACAGACAAGAATTTTGAGAGCAAGCCACATAGCTGGAGGAGCAACGCAGACACATGCGGATCGCGGCAACGAACCGCCTTCCGTGGCTCGATTTCCGCCGAGCCGCGCCCAAACAAGTACACGTCGACTGAGTGGGCAGGGAAAAGAGTGTGGACAGGCCGGGTAGTTCGCCATGTATACTCCATGTAGTAGCATGTACTACACCATGTATCTACCTATGTTCTAGTGCTGACCCAAGGCTAGGGAGAGCGGGCGAACTGAAGTTCCCGGCCCCAAGTGGCACGGTCGACGCCTAGCAGCACAATACTATCTAGACTATCGACCACCATGCCTGACGCCTCCATATTTACCTAACCTTCGGTTTGTATGTCTCTCTCCCTCACTCTCACCATCTGCCTCACCCGTCTGCCGTTATGACGTCCTCACCCAACACAGTTCTCATCATGGGCTGCAGTGTCGGCAGCATTGGCTCAGCACTTGCCCTCGAATTACACTGCCGTGACTTGCATGTCTTCGCTTCGGCCCGCAACCTCAACAAGATGGCTCACCTGGCCAACCTTGATCGTGTTTTGCTGTTGCAACTCGACGTGACCTTACAAGCCAGCATCACCGCTGCCGCTGCCCAAGTTAGCAAGACCACTGGTGGCTCTTTAGATATACTCATCAACAACTTCGGCTCCTAGTATGTCACTCCCACCATGGAAACCAACCTTAATTCTGCCCGCTCCATGTTTGAGGTCAACGTCTTTGGTGTTGCCGCTGTCTGCCAGACCTTCGCCTCACTCATCACAACCGCCCGTGGAATTATTGTCAACATCTGCTCCATCTCTGCTCACGTGCACACTCCTTGGATGGGCTTCTATGGTGCCTCCAGGGCTGCCGCTGAGGTAATGAGCGAGACGATGCGCCTGGAAATGGCCCCTCTAGGCGTCCGTGTCATATCCCTCGTCACAGGAGCCGTCACCTCCAACATTATGACCAATGGTACCATCTCAGAGCTCTCAGATACATCACCCTTCAAGTCTGCTGAGAAAGAGATAGTCGCTCTAGCCAGAGGCAAAAATGGTCATGCTCGCATGCCCGCTGAAACATTTGCCATAAAGGTCGTCGATGATGTGTTCGGTGGTGCTCAGGGAAAGCTGTGGAGAGGACAGATGGCCTCGATCATCTACTGGCTTACCAAGCTCACGCCCTTGTCAGTATTGGTAAGTCAACTCTTTATACCCACACTCTTCACTGTCGACTCATCACCTATAGGATAAATTAATATCCAAGGATTCTGGCTTAGAGCACCGGGCAAAGAAGTAACGCCCCTAATGTCTGTCCCCCCACTCAAGCCCTTTATCCGAGTAGCTACTCTCGGGCCATAGTTTCTTTTCTCTAATCCTTATGTTACTTGGTACCCTGTTGGGAATCATCTATCAGCCTTGGTAGAAGTACTTTATATTAGTAGGCTTCTGTTTGGCCGCTCTCTTTGATGTGTACATCAGTCATGATAGAAGTTTCAATTCGAAGGTAGCATTTAGTGTGAGAATAGAAACGAGGTGATTCTATATTGGAGTGCCTAACTGATAGTCTAGTTGCTTGAAGCTTATTAACGTCGTTGCTACTCGGTGTTATCTATTCGGGAAACTGCCATTGATGTTGAGTTACAAGTTGTGGCGCAAGTGTTGGATGAGGCGCGTCCTAGAGTGGTAGACAAAGAAGGAACGAGATAGTGGAAGAGCTAGGTCTCGGTTTCTAAATGTCTCATATTCGTTGCTTGTTACGTGTGCTTCTATGAAGTACCGGACTTTAATTCTAGTACGCAGCTCCGTCTCCAAGCCATCGTACACGCTACTAACCCATTCTTTCGGCAATCTATCCTAAAAGACATAAAATCTATATCCACTTCCTCCGGCTACCTAGCCGAGACTACAAACCTCCTACACGACTCGCAGATAGGAGGTAGAGTAAAGAAATCAGCTATAGATGCAGCTCTACTTCTTGTAGATCAAATCCAGCACCAAAAACAACGCGGCTATATTACATCAATAGTCTTTCTAGACGTAAAAGGAGCGTTCGATCACGTATCGCACAACCAGTTCCTAGGCACGCTAAAAAGACTAGGCCTACCAACCAGCCTAATTACTTGGGCTAAAACCTTTCTATCTAATAGATCTCTAAGGCTCGCCTTTGACGGCCAAATAGAAGACTTTAGCGAGATTAACGCGGGCATCCCATAAGGCAGCCCAGTATCTCCAATCTTCTTTCTTATCTATATTAGAGATCTATTCCCCCAAATAGATGGATTTCAGCTCTCCTACATCGACGATATCTCTATTATAACCTCCTCAACGTCTATTAAGAAAAACGTTAAGATACTACAATAGGAGGTTAAGAAACTAGTTACTAAAGGAAAAGAACTAGCTATCGAATTCGATATAGCGAAAACAGAGCTTATCCACTTTACAAGGAAAAAAGAAAGAAAAGAAATACCTCTAGAGCTCCCTAGTAAGGAGAAAATCTACCACAAAGATATGATTAAGTGGCTAGGGGTCTACCTTGACAATAAGCTATCTTTTCGAGAACACGTAGCTATTCGAGCTAGCGAGGCAAAAACAGCTTTTAATAGACTAGGGAGACTAGCGAATATAGACCGCGGTCTATCTCCCTTTGCTATTAGACAACTATATCTAGCATGCGTTACTAGCATTGCAGATTATGAGTCGCCAATCTATTGGCGCAACCAGAGCTTTATTAGAGATCAGCTTCAGCCGCTACACAACGCGGCTTGTAGAAAGGTACTAGGAGTGTTTAAAACAGCTCCAGCTATCCCTACGAGTATTGAAGCTAGCTTGCCGTCACCAGAAATACGGCTAAGCTAAACTAATCGAAAATACGCACTGCGAGCTATACAACTAGCTCATACCTACCTAATTACAAAAGCTATTAAAAGACTACAAAAAACAACCCTTTAACAATCAAAACAGCCAAATAAGACAAGACAACTACGCGCCATCACGAGCTCCATCCCATCTACCCAAGAGACAGAAGAGATCATCCCATATCGGTTCAGACCATGGGATTCTCTTAACTACACTATCTCTATATTAAAGAAATCTAAAGAAGAAGAGGCAATCGCGCACAAAGATTATATCTAAACAATAGAGGATAACTCTATAGTAATCTACTTAGACGCATCTAAAACTAAAGACGGAGATGGGATAGGAGTAGGCGTAGTGGCTTATAACCTAAACCAAGAAGAAATATACGCAGCGACAAGTAATATAGGCGAGCAGCAGCTAGTCTATAATAGAGAGCTAGAAGGCATTACAACAGCGTTTGAATTCGCTGCTAAAACTGCTTAAAAAGGCCAAAATATCTACGTTTACGCTGATAACTAAGCTGCAATCTACAGGCTCCAGAGTCTATTAGATAAGCCCGGCCAGCAGTGGGTAATTCGGTGCCAAAAAGTAGCCAAAGCTATCCATAATAAAAAAGCGAAGATCTTCTTAAAATGGGCTCCTGGCCACACAGATATAGAAGGAAACGAAAAAGCAGACTTCTTAGCAAAGGAAGCTACAAAACAAACACCAAAAAAATCACAAATAAGCCTAGCCTTCTTAGGCACAAAAATTAAACTCCTCTAACGAGCTAGCCAAGCAGAAGAGTAGAAAGTATATAGGGAAAAAGTAAGAGAAAAGAAGACTAGCTACGGAGCTATCTTTACGCTAAGGCTTAAAAACCAACTAGCAATCCCTAGAGGCACGAAAAGAGAGATTTTAAGCTCTTTCTACTCTCTTAAGATAGGACACGGATACC